GCATCATCCCCCACAGCAGCACGCATCATCCCCAGCAGCACGCATCATCCCAAGCAGCACGCATTCCCCAAGCAGCACGCATCATCCCCAAGCAGCACGCATCATCCCCAGCAGACGCATCATCACCAAGCAGCACGCATCATCCCCAAGCAGCACGCATCATCCCCTAGCAGCACGCATCATCCCCAACCAGCACGCATCCCCAAGCAGCAGGCATCATCCCGAAGCAGCACGCATCATCCCCAAGCAGCACGCATCATCCCCAGCAGCACGCATCTCCCCTAGCAGCACGCATCATCCCCAAGCAGCACGCATCATCCCCAAGCAGCACGCATCATCCCCAAGCAGCACGCATCATCCCCAAGCAGCACGCATCACCCCAGCAGCAGGCATCATCCCCAAGCAGCAGGCATCATCCCCAAGCAGCACGCATCATCCCAAGCAGCACGCATCATCCCCAAGCAGCACGCATCCCCAAGCAGCACGCATCATCCCCAAGCAGCACGCATCATCCCCAAGCAGCACGCATCATCCCCAAGCAGCACGCATCATCCCGAAGCAGCACGCATCATCACCAAGCAGCACGCATCATCCCCAAGCAGCACGCATCATCCCCAAGCAGCACGCATCATCCCCTAGCAGCACGCATCATCCCCAACCAGCACGCATCATCCCCAAGCAGCAGGCATCATCCCGAAGCAGCACGCATCATCCCCAAGCAGCACGCATCATCCCCCAGCAGCACGCATCATCCCCTAGCAGCACGCATCATCCCCAAGCAGCACGCATCATCCCAAGCAGCACGCATCATCACCAGCGCACGCATCATCCCCAAGCAGCACGCATCATCCCCTAGCAGCACGCATCATCCCCAACCAGCATCATCCCCAAGCAGCAGGCATCATCCCGAAGCAGCACGCATCATCCCCAAGCAGCACGCATCATCCCCCAGCAGCACGCATCATCCCCTAGCAGCACGCATCATCCCCAAGCAGCACGCATCATCCCCAAGCAGCACGCATCATCCCCAAGCAGCACGCATCATCCCCAAGCAGCACGCATCATCCCCCAAGCAGCACGCATCATCCCCAAGCAGCAGCATCATCCCCAAGCAGCACGCATCATCCCCAAGCAGCAGCTCATCCCCAAGCAGCACGCATCATCCCCAAGCAGCACGCATCATCCCCAAGCAGCACGCATCATCCCCAAGCAGCACGCATCATCCCCAAGCAGCACGCATCATCCCCAAGCAGCACGCATCATCCCCAAGCAGCACGCATCATCCCCAAGCAGCACGCATCATCCCGAAGCAGCACGCATCATCCCCAAGCAGCACGCATCATCCCCAAGCAGCACGCATCATCCCCAAGCAGCACACATCATCCCCAAGCAGCACGCATCATCCCCAAGCAGCACGCATCATCCCAAGCAGCACGCATCATCCCCAAGCAGCACGCATCATCCCCAAGCAGCAGCATCATCCCCAAGCAGCACGCATCATCCCAAGCAGCACGCATCATCCCCAAGCAGCACGCATCATCCCAAGCAGCACGCATCATCCCCAAGCAGCACGCAATCATCCCCAAGCAGCACGCATATCCCCAAGCAGCACGCATCATCCCCAAGCAGCACGCATCATCCCCAAGCAGCACGCTCATCCCTAGCAGCACGCATCATCCCCAACCAGCACGCATCATCCCCAAGCAGCAGGCATCATCCCGAAGCAGCACGCATCATCCCCAAGCAGCACGCATCATCCCTAGCAGCACGCATCATCCCTAGCAGCACGCATCATCCCCAAGCAGCACGCATCATCCCCAAGCAGCACGCATCATCCCCAAGCAGCACACTCATCCCCAAGCAGCACGCACCCCCAAGCAGCAGGCATCATCCCAAGCAGCAGGCATCATCCCCAAGCAGCACGCATCATCCCCAAGCAGCACGCATCATCCCCCAGCAGCACGCATCATCCCAAGCAGCACGCATCATCCCCAAGCAGCACGCATCATCCCCAAGCAGCACGCATCATCCCAAGCAGCACGCATCATCCCCAAGCAGCACGCATCATCCCAAGCAGCACGCATCATCCCAAGCAGCACGCATCATCCCCAAGCAGCAGGCATCATCCCCAAGCAGCACGCATCATCCCGAAGCAGCACGCATCATCACCAAGCAGCACGCATCATCCCCAAGCAGCACGCATCATCCCCAAGCAGCACGCATCATCCCGAAGCAGCACGCATCATCCCGAAGCAGCACGCATCAACCCGAAGCAGCACGCATCATCACCAAGCAGCACGCATCATCCCCAAGCAGCACGCATCATCCCCAAGCAGCACGCATCATCCCCAAGCAGCACGCATCATCCCCTAGCAGCACGCATCATCCCCTAGCAGCACGCATCATCCCCAAGCAGCACGCATCATCCCCAAGCAGCACGCATCATCCCCAAGCAGCAGGCATCATCCCCAAGCAGCACGCATCATCCCCAAGCAGCACGCATCATCCCCAAGCAGCAGGCATTATCCCCAAGCAGCACGCATCATCCCCAAGCAGCACGCATCATCCCCAAGCAGCACGCATCATCCCCAAGCAGCACGCATCATCCCAAGCAGCAGGCATCATCCCTAGCAGCAGGCATCATCCCGAAGCAGCACGCATCATCCCGAAGCAGCACGCATCACCCAAGCAGCACGCATCATCCCCAAGCAGCACGCATCATCCCCAAGCAGCACGCATCATCCCCTAGCAGCACGCATCATCCCCTAGCAGCACGCATCATCCCCAAGCAGCACGCATCATCCCCAAGCAGCACGCATCATCCCCAAGCAGCAGGCATCATCCCCAAGCAGCACGCATCATCCCCAAGCAGCACGCATCATCCCCAAGCAGCAGGCATTATCCCCAAGCAGCACGCATCATCCCCAAGCAGCACGCATCATCCCCAAGCAGCACGCATCATCCCCAAGCAGCACGCATCATCCCCAAGCAGCAGGCATCATCCCGAAGCAGCACGCATCATCACCAAGCAGCACGCATCATCCCCAAGCAGCAGGCATCATCCCCAAGCAGCACGCATCATCCCCAAGCAGCAGGCATCCCCAAGCAGCAGGCATCATCCCGAAGCAGCACGCATCATCACCAAGCAGCACGCATCCCCAAGCAGCACGCATCATCCCCAAGCAGCACGCATCATCCCCTAGCAGCACGCATCATCCCCAAGCAGCAGGCATCATCCCGAAGCAGCACGCATCATCACCAAGCAGCACGCATCATCCCCAAGCAGCACGCATCATCCCCAAGCAGCACGCATCATCCCCAAGCAGCAGGCATCATCCCGAAGCAGCAGGCATCATCCCGAAGCAGCACTTATCATCCCGAAGCAGCACGCATCATCCCCAAGCAGCACGCATCATCCCCTAGCAGCACGCATCATCCCCTAGCAGCACGCATCATCCCCAAGCAGCACGCATCATCCCCAAGCAGCACGCATCATCCCCAAGCAGCAGGCATCATCCCCAAGCAGCACGCATCATCCCCAAGCAGCACGCATCATCCCCAAGCAGCAGGCATCATCCCCAAGCAGCACGCATCATCCCCAAGCAGCACGCATCCCCAAGCAGCACGCATCATCCCCAAGCAGCAGGCATCATCCCGAAGCAGCACGCATCATCCCGAAGCAGCACGCATCATCCCCAAGCAGCACGCATCATCCCCTAGCAGCACGCATCATCCCCTAGCAGCACGCATCATCGCCAAGCAGCACGCATCATCCCCAAGCAGCACGCATCATCCCCAAGCAGCACGCATCATCCCCAAGCAGCAGGCATCATCCCCAAGCAGCACGCATCATCCCCAAGCAGCAGGCATCATCCCGAAGCAGCACGCATCATCCCGAAGCAGCACGCATCATCCCCAAGCAGCAGGCATCATCCCCAAGCAGCACGCATCATCCCCAAGCAGCAGGCATGATCCCCAAGCAGCACGCATCATCCCCAAGCAGCACGCATCATCCCCAAGCAGCTGGCATCATCCCGAAGCAGCAGGCATCATCCAGAAGCAGCACGCATCATCCCGAAGCAGCACGCATCATCCCAAGCAGCACGCATCATCCCCTAGCAGCACGCATCATCCCAAGCAGCACGCATCATCCCCAAGCAGCACGCATCATCCCCAAGCAGCACGCATCATCCCCAAGCAGCAGGCATCATCCCGAAGCAGCACGCATCATCCCGAAGCAGCACGCATCATCCCCAAGCAGCAGGCATCATCCCCAAGCAGCACGCATCATCCCCAAGCAGCAGGCATCATCCCCAAGCAGCACGCATCATCCCCAAGCAGCACGCATCATCCCCAAGCAGCACGCATCATCCCCAAGCAGCACGCATCATCCCCAAGCAGCACGCATCATCCCCAAGCAGCAGGCATCATCCCCTAGCAGCAGGCATCATCCCCAAGCAGCACGCATCATCCCGAAGCAGCACGCATCATCCCCAAGCAGCACGCATCATCCCCTAGCAGCACGCATCATCCCCTAGCAGCACGCATCATCCCCAAGCAGCACGCATCATCCCCAAGCAGCACGCATCATCCCCAAGCAGCAGGCATCATCCCCAAACAGCACGCATCATCCCCAAGCAGCACGCATCATCCCCAAGCAGCAGGCATCATCCCCAAGCAGCACGCATCATCCCCAAGCAGCACGCATCATCCCCAAGCAGCACGCATCATCCCCAAGCAGCAGGCATCATCCCGAAGCAGCACGCATCATCCCGAAGCAGCACGCATCATCCCAAGCAGCACGCATCATCCCCTAGCAGCACGCATCATCCCCTAGCAGCACGCATCATCGCCAAGCAGCACGCATCATCCCAAGCAGCACGCATCATCCCCAAGCAGCACGCATCATCCCCAAGCAGCAGGCATCATCCCCAAGCAGCACGCATCATCCCCAAGCAGCAGGCATCATCCCGAAGCAGCACGCATCATCCCGAAGCAGCACGCATCATCCCCAAGCAGCAGGCATCATCCCCAAGCAGCACGCATCATCCCCAAGCAGCAGGCATGATCCCCAAGCAGCACGCATCATCCCCAAGCAGCACGCATCATCCCCAAGCAGCTGGCATCATCCCGAAGCAGCAGGCATCATCCAGAAGCAGCACGCATCATCCCGAAGCAGCACGCATCATCCCCAAGCAGCACGCATCATCCCCTAGCAGCACGCATCATCCCCAAGCAGCACGCATCATCCCCAAGCAGCACGCATCATCCCCAAGCAGCACGCATCATCCCCAAGCAGCAGGCATCATCCCGAAGCAGCACGCATCATCCCGAAGCAGCACGCATCATCCCCAAGCAGCAGGCATCATCCCCAAGCAGCACGCATCATCCCCAAGCAGCAGGCATCATCCCCAAGCAGCACGCATCATCCCCAAGCAGCACGCATCATCCCCAAGCAGCACGCATCATCCCCAAGCAGCACGCATCATCCCCAAGCAGCACGCATCATCCCCAAGCAGCAGGCATCATCCCCTAGCAGCAGGCATCATCCCCAAGCAGCACGCATCATCCCCAAGCAGCACGCATCATCCCCAAGCAGCAGGCATCATCCCCAAGCAGCACGCATCATCCCCAAGCAGCACGCATCATCCCCAAGCAGCAGGCATCATCCCCAAGCAGCACGCATCATCCCCAAGCAGCACGCATCATCCCCAAGCAGCACGCATCATCCCAAGCAGCACGCATCATCCCCAAGCAGCACGCATCATCCCCAAGCAGCACGCATCATCCCAAGCAGCACGCATCATCCCCAAGCAGCACGCATCATCCCCAAGCAGCACGCATCATCCCCAAGCAGCACGCATCATCCCCAAGCAGCACGCATCATCCCGAAGCAGCACGCATCATCCCAAGCAGCACGCATCATCCCAAGCAGCACGCATCATCCCCAAGCAGCACGCATCATCCCCAAGCAGCAGGCATCATCCCGAAGCAGCACGCATCATCCCCAAGCAGCACGCATCATCCCCAAGCAGCACGCATCATCCCCAGCAGCACGCATCATCCCAAGCAGCACGCATCATCCCCAAGCAGCACGCATCATCCCAAGCAGCACGCATCATCCCCAAGCAGCAGGCATCATCCCCAAGCAGCACGCATCATCCCCAAGCAGCAGCATCATCCCAAGCAGCACGCATCATCCCCAAGCAGCACGCATCATCCCCAAGCAGCACGCATCATCCCACAGCACGCATCATCCCCAAGCAGCACGCATCATCCCGAAGCAGCACGCATCATCCCAAGCAGCACGCATCATCCCCAAGCAGCACGCATCATCCCCAGCACACGCATCATCCCAGCAGCACGCATCATCCCCAAGCAGCACGCATCATCCCCAAGCAGCACGCATCATCCCCAAGCAGCAGCATCATCCCCAAGCAGCACGCATCATCCCCAAGCAGCACGCATCATCCCCAAGCAGCACGCATCATCCCCAAGCAGCACGCATCATCCCCAAGCAGCAGGCATCATCCCCAAGCAGCACACGCATCATCCCCAAGCAGCACGCATCATCCCCAAGCAGCAGCAGGCATCATCCCCAAGCAGCACGCATCATCCCCAAGCAGCAGGCATCATCCCAAGCAGCACGCATCATCCCCAAGCAGCACGCATCATCCCCAAGCAGCAGCATCATCCCAAGCAGCACGCATCATCCCCAAGCAGCACGCATCATCCCCAAGCAGCAGGCATCATCCCCAAGCAGCACGCATCATCCCGAAGCAGCACGCATCATCCAAGCAGCACGCATCATCCCCAAGCAGCACGCATCATCCCCAAGCAGCACGCATCATCCCAAGCAGCAGCATCATCCCAAGCAGCAGCATCATCCCAAGCAGCACGCATCATCCCGAAGCAGCACGCATCATCCCCAAGCAGCACGCATCATCCCTAGCAGCACGCATCATCCCCTAGCAGCACGCATCATCCCCAAGCAGCACGCATCATCCCCAAGCAGCACGCATCATCCCCAAGCAGCAGGCATCATCCCCAAGCAGCACGCATCATCCCCAAGCAGCACGCATCATCCCCAAGCAGCACGCATCATCCCCAAGCAGCACGCATCATCCCCAAGCAGCAGGCATCATCCCCAAGCAGCACGCATCATCCCCAAGCAGCACGCATCATCCCCAAGCAGCACGCATCATCCCAAGCAGCACGCATCATCCCCAAGCAGCACGCATCATCCCAAGCAGCACGCATCATCCCCAAGCAGCAGGCATCATCCCCACAGCAGCCATCATCCCCAAGCAGCACGCATCATCCCCAAGCAGCACGCATCATCCCCAAGCAGCACGCATCATCCCCAAGCAGCAGCATCATCCCCAAGCAGCAGCATCATCCCCAAGCAGCACGCATCATCCCCAAGCAGCACGCATCATCCCAAGCAGCACGCATCATCCCAAGCAGCACGCATCATCCCCAAGCAGCACGCATCATCCCCAAGCAGCAGCATCATCCCGAAGCAGCAGGCATCATCCCGAAGCAGCACGCATCATCCCGAAGCAGCACGCATCATCCCCAAGCAGCACGCATCATCCCAGCAGCACGCATCATCCCAGCAGCACGCATCATCCCCAAGCAGCACGCATCATCCCCAAGCAGCACGCATCATCCCCAAGCAGCACGCATCATCCCCAAGCAGCACGCATCATCCCCAAGCAGCACGCATCATCCCCAAGCAGCACGCATCATCCCCAAGCAGCACGCATCATCCCCAAGCAGCACGCATCATCCCAAGCAGCAGCATCATCCCGACAGCACGCATCATCCCGAAGCAGCACGCATCATCCCTAAGCAGCACGCATCATCCCCTAGCAGCACGCATCATCCCCTAGCAGCACGCATCATCCCCAAGCAGCACGCATCATCCCCAAGCAGCACGCATCATCCCCAAGCAGCAGGCATCATCCCCAAGCAGCACGCATCATCCCCAAGCAGCACGCATCATCCCCAAGCAGCACGCATCATCCCCAAGCAGCAGGCATCATCCCCAAGCAGCACGCATCATCCCCAAGCAGCAGGCATCATCCCCAAGCAGCACGCATCATCCCCAAGCAGCACGCATCATCCCCAAGCAGCAGGCATCATCCCCAAGCAGCAGCATGATCCCAAGCAGCAGGCATCATCCCCAAGCAGCACGCATCATCCCCAAGCAGCACGCATCATCCCCAAGCAGCACGCATATCCCGCAAGCAGCACGCATCATCCCCAAGCAGAACGCATCATCCCCTAGCAGCACGCATCATCCCCTAGCAGCACGCATCATCCCCAAGCAGCAGGCATCATCCCCAAGCAGCACGCATCATCCCCAAGCAGCAGGCATCATCCCCAAGCAGCACGCATCATCCCCAAGCAGCACGCATCATCCCCAAGCAGCAGGCATCATCCCCAAGCAGCACGCATCATCCCCAAGCAGCACGCATCATCCCCAAGCAGCACGCATCATCCCCAAGCAGCAGGCATCATCCCCAAGCAGCAGGCATCATCCCCAAGCAGCAGGCATAATCCCGAAGCAGCACGCATCATCCCCAAGCAGCAGGCATCATCCCCAAGCAGCACGCATCATCCCCAAGCAGCAGGCATCATCCCCAAGCAGCACGCATCATCCCCAAGCAGCACGCATCATCCCCAAGCAGCAGGCATCATCCCCAAGCAGCACGCATCATCCCGAAGCAGCACGCATCATCACCAAGCAGCACGCATCATCCCCAAGCAGCACGCATCATCCCCAAGCAGCACGCATCATCCCCAAGCAGCAGGCATCATCCCGAAGCAGCACGCATCATCCCGAAGCAGCACGCATCATCCCGAAGCAGACATCCCCAAGCAGCACGCATCATTCCCTAGCAGCACGCATCATCCCCTAGCAGCACGCATCATCCCCAAGCAGCACGCATCATCCCCAAGCAGCACGCATCATCCCCAAGCAGCAGGCATCATCCCCAACCAGCACGCATCATCCCGAAGCAGCACGCATCATCACCAAGCAGCACGCATCATCCCCAAGCAGCAGGCATCTTCCCCAAGCAGCACGCATCATCCCCAAGCAGCACGCATCATCCCCAAGCAGCAGGCATCATCCCGAAGCAGCACGCATCATCCCGAAGCAGCACGCATCATCCCCAAGCAGCACGCATCATCCCCTAGCAGCACGCATCATCCCCTAGCAGCACGCATCATCCCCAAGCAGCACGCATCATCCCCAAGCAGCACGCATCATCCCCAAGCAGCAGGCATCATCCCCAAGCAGCACGCATCATCCCCAAGCAGCACGCATCATCCCCAAGCAGCACGCATCATCCCCAAGCAGCAGGCATCATCCCCAAGCAGCACGCATCATCCCCAAGCAGCACGCATCATCCCCAAGCAGCACGCATCATCCCGAAGCAGCACGCATCATCACCAAGCAGCACGCATCATCCCCAAGCAGCACGCATCATCCCCAAGCAGCACGCACCATCCCCAAGCAGCAGGCATCATCCCCAAGCAGCAGGCATCATCCCGAAGCAGCACGCATCATCCCGAAGCAGCACGCATCATCCCCAAGCAGCACGCATCATCCCCTAGCAGCACGCATCATCCCCTAGCAGCACGCATCATCCCCAAGCAGCACGCATCATCCCCAAGCAGCACGCATCATCCCCAAGCAGCAGGCATCATCCCCAAGCAGCACGCATCATCCCCAAGCAGCAGGCATCATCCCCAAGCAGCACGCATCATCCCCAAGCAGCACGCATCATCCCCAAGCAGCAGGCATCATCCCCAAGCAGCACGCATCATCCCCAAGCAGCAGGCATCATCCCCAAGCAGCACGCATCATCCCCAAGCAGCACGCATCATCCCCAAGCAGCAGGCATCATCCCCAAGCAGCACGCATCATCCCCAAGCAGCAGGCATCATCCCCAAGCAGCACGCATCATCCCCAAGCAGCACGCATCATCCCCAAGCAGCAGGCATCATCCCCAAGCAGCACGCTTCATCCCCAAGCAGCACGCATCATCCCCAAGCAGCAGGCATCATCCCCAAGCAGCACGCATCATCCCCAAGCAGCACGCATCATCCCCAAGCAGCACGCATCATCCCCAAGCAGCACGCATCATCCCCAAGCAGCAGGCATCATCCCCAAGCAGCACGCCCCCCACGCATCATCCCCAAGCAGCACGCATTCATCCCCAAGCAGCACGCATCATCCCCAAGCAGCACGCATCATCCCCAAGCAGCAGGCATCATCCCCAAGCAGCACGCATCATCCCCAAGCAGCACGCATCATCCCCAAGCAGCACGCATCATCCCCAAGCAGCACGCATCATCCCCAAGCAGCACGCATCATCCCCAAGCAGCAGGCATCATCCCCAAGCAGCACGCATCATCCCCAAGCAGCACGCATCATCCCCAAGCAGCAGGCATCATCCCCAAGCAGCAGGCATCATCCCCAAGCAGCACGCATCATCCCCAAGCAGCACGCATCATCCCCAAGCAGCACGCATCATCCCCAAGCAGCACGCATCATCCCCAAGCAGCACGCATCATCCCCAAGCAGCACGCATCATCCCCAAGCAGCAGGCATCATCCCCAAGCAGCAGGCATCATCCCCAAGCAGCAGGCATCATCCCCAAGCAGCACGCATCATCCCCAAGCAGCACGCATCATCCCCAAGCAGCAGGCATCATCCCCAAGCAGCAGGCATCATCCCCAAGCAGCACGCATCATCCCCAAGCAGCACGCATCATCCCCAAGCAGCACGCATCATCCCCAAGCAGCAGGCATCATCCCCAAGCAGCACGCATCATCCCCAAGCAGCACGCATCATCCCCAAGCAGCACGCATCATCCCCAAGCAGCAGGCATCATCCCCAAGCAGCAGGCATCATCCCCAAGCAGCAGGCATCATCCCCAAGCAGCGCGCATCATCCCCAAGCAGCACGCATCATCCCCAAGCAGCACGCATCATCCCCAAGCAGCAGGCATCATCCCCAAGCAGCACGCATCATCCCCAAGCAGCAGGCATCATCCCCAAGCAGCACGCATCATCCCCAAGCAGCGCGCATCATCCCCAAGCAGCACGCATCATCCCCAAGCAGCGCGCATCATCCCCATGTGCGTGCCAAACGCTCCCCTTTTTTCGCTTGCTCCTCCCCCTTGCTCTCCTCCCCCTTGCGCTCCTCCCCCTTGCTCTCCTCCCCCTTGCTCTCCTCCCCCTTGCTCTCCTCCCCCTTGCTTTCCTCCCCCTTGCTCTCCTCCCCCTTGCTCTCCTCCCCCTTGCTCTCCACTGCCCGCTGCAGGTCTTTTCTCTCTCCTCTCTCCAAGTCTTCACAGAGTACGAGATCGACACCTTGGTGTGCGGGGATCGCCAGATGTGGACGGTGAGTGGGATGGGGGCGGTGAGTCTCATGGGGGCGGTGAGTCTCATGGGGGCGGTGAGTCTCACCTTGTATCCCAAGAGACTCACCGCCCCCGTGAGACTCACCTTCTTTTGAGCTCCCGCTCTACCCTTCTTTTGCTCAGCTTCTTACCCTTCTTTTGCTACCCTTCTTACCCTTCTTTTGCTACCCTTCTTTCCCTTGCTTAGCTTTGGACCGTGTCCACCCACACATTTGCTCCTCATGTGTTATGGACCCTGTGTGCTGTGTGCGTGCTGGGTGTGTGCTGTGTGCTCATCTGTCTGTGTGCGCTACAATGTGAGGGGACCGTGTGAGCACAGGAGGAGATGCTAGCGGAGCACGTCAAGTGTGACCATGGCTACACTCTTGACAGCGCCCCCATCAAATACGTAAGCCTCGTCTCCTCATCCCTCATCCCCGCATCCCCTCGTCCCCTGCACCCTGTCCTTTGCCCCACGATCCGTAGCACTCAGTGCGCCAAGGCGTGATGCTCCATCTCACCATCAGTTCATACCCCACTCTCTATCCTCGCCCCAAGTCACCTCCACCCACATCTCTCCTCTCCTCTCCAATCTCGCCTCCTTTTCCCACCCCCCCGCCCCCTACCTCCCTTACCCCAGCTGCTGAGCACACTAGCAGCCTTCACCCCGCAGGAGCAGCGCGCCTTCGTGCGCTTTGTCACGGGCGCGCCCTGCCTGCCCCCGGGCGGGCTGGCGGCGCTGCGGCCAAAGCTCACCATCGTGCGCAAGGTGGGTCGGCTAGTAGGCTTTTGAGAAGTCTCACCCACCTAACACTGCTCACCATTGTGCGCAAGGTGGGTTGGTTACTAGGCGCACGCTGCTTTCCTCTTGTCTGCGGCGCGCCGTTCCCCTCTCGGCACAGCCTCCCGCTCTTGGCCTGTGCGTTGATGACGGCTGTCAGTGTTTCCTGCCCTGCTGCTGCCGCAGCCGTCTGTCCCCTGAGTATTGCATGGGCCGTATGTGCATGCTGCCTTGCTCGCACCTCCTTGCATCCTCCCTCTCCCTCTCTCTCTCTCTCTATCACTCACCTTGCTTACCTCACTCACCTCGCACACCCCTGGCCCCTAATAAACCCACTCTGCCACTCTTCCTCTCTTCACGCCTCTCCTTTCCCCCACCCCCCACCCTTCGCCCACCCCCTTCGCCCGCCCCACTCCTTCCCCCCTCCGCCAGCACCCATCATCATACCCCCAGCCGCGACCCTCATCCGAGGGGGAGCCTTCCACGTCGACAGCATCACCACCAACAGCAGGGGGAGGGGGAGCGGGCAGTGCAGGGGGGTCGCCCATGGGCATGGCAGCGAGCGACATCGACCTGCCAAGTGTCATGACGTGCGCCAACTACCTCAAGCTGCCGCCCTACTCCTCCCAGGTGCGTGCTCCGCTGTGCCCGTGCCAAGTATGCCAGGTATGCCAATGTGAAAACCACATGTATTGAGTCTGCTCTTGAGTTGGCTCAATAGCTGCATCTATACTCCCCCAGGTGCGTGCTGCACCAGTGCGTGCACCTGTGCTTCCGTGTTGGTTGTGTTGTAGGGGAGCTTCTGGTTGTGTTGGTTGTGAGGGGGGTGGGAGAGAGGGTGTGGGAGAGAGGGGATAGGGGGTGGAGAAGTGCCCGTGATTCCTTTGGCTGTTGGTGGCCAGCGGGTTTGTTATCACTCGACCGCAAGCTCACTCCTCCTGTGTTTGGCAATCTGGCAAATTGCAAGACTTGTAGTCACATGCTGCTCAGGATCGTGTTCCTGTGGTTTCTGCCCGTCACCCTCCTTTATTCCGCACCCTCCTTCATTCCGCACCCTCCCTCATTCCGCACGACCCCCTTCCCTCCCGCGCTCCTTGTCATTCCCGTGCTCGCTTCCCGTGTGGGTCCGCGTGTGTTTTGAGTCGACTCAAAACACTTCCCGTGCTCGCTTCCTGTGTGGGTCCGCGTGTGTTTTGAGTCGACTCAAAACACTTCCCGTGCTCGCTGCCCGTGTGGGTCCGCGTGTGTTTTGAGTCGACTCAAAACACTTCCCGTGCTCGCTTCCCGTGTTGGTCCGCGTGTGTTATGAGTAGACTCAAAAAACTTCCCGTGCTCGCTTCCCGTGTGGGTCCGCGTGTGTTTTGAGTCGACTTAAAACACTTCCCGTGCTCGCTTCCCGTGTTGGTCTGCGTGTGTTTTGATTCGACTCAAAACACTTCCCGTGCTCGCTTCCCAAGTTGGTCCGCGTGTGTTTTGAGTCGACTCAAAACACTTCCCGTGCTCGCTTCCCAAGTTGGTCCGCGTGTGTTTTGAGTCGACTCAAAACACTTCCCGTGCTCGCTTCCCGTGTTGGTCCGCGTGTGTTATGAGTCGACTCAAAACACTTCCCGTGCTCGCTTCCCGTGTGGGTCCGCTCATCAGATCTCTCGCCTCTCATTCCTGAACGCTGATTCATTCCTGATCGATCATTCATCGCTCATTCCTGGTCATTCCTGGTCATTCCTGGTCATTCATCGCTCATTCCTGGTCGCTCATTCCCGATCTCTCTTCTCCTCCCATGAGCAGGCGGTGATGCGGCAGCGGCTGCTGTACGCCATTTTCGAGGGGCAGGGCTCATTCGACCTCTCGTAAGGCCAGGACAAGGAGATCCCCCCAGGAAGCATCTCACCTGTCCTGCCTCGGGCTACTGCAGAGCCCTGTCCTGCCTTGGGATCATCATGGTATCCATATCAAGAGACAGGCTGGCAGGGCAGCATGCAGCACAGCGTCTCCTGTCTCCTGTCTCCTGTCTCCTGTCTCCTGTCTCCTGTCATCTGGCGTCTGCACTGCAGTTCCCTCCTGACTTGTTCGGCCAAGGCTGGGCGAAGTGTAGGGTAGGGTCGGCCTGTTGGAAGGAATCAATCCAACAGGGGTCTTCTCTGCTGCTGCTGCTGTTGGTCAGTTTCTCGCTCTGCACTGGATCAGTGCATCTCAATTCTCCTCCCTTAGGGAGTGAGTGGGATTGGGTTGGGTCGGGTGTCCTGTCCTGTCCTCTCTCCTTGATAGGCAGCTACCGGTAGTCCCCCTGCTGTCTGCAGCAGCCTAGCTTTTTGGTTCATGCAGTATGCGACTGAAATCAGGCGTCTTTAGACAGGCAAGAGCAGTATCGGTGGTGCCATGCACATACAGTACAGCCGTCCCTATTCACTCAGTTTACGCATGCTCTTCTAGAGGTGATTGCGTACATGGGGATTGTAAAACTGTCCTGCTGCTGGAAGCGTGCAACCAGGCCCCCAAATTGGTTTTTGGGGACGCTGATTCATCAGTGTCCCCTGCCATTCCTTGGGTTGGTCATCAGCGTCGCCCCGCGAAAAAAGGCTGAAAAATCAGGGTAGCCTGAAAAAAAATCGCTGATCAATCAGTGTTGTACCTGGAGTTTACGCTGATCCAAAGTTTCCATTGAACATAGTAACGAGACATTTAATATGGCGAATTCCTGGGTTGTCTCCCCCTCCGTCTTGCTTCCCCCCTCCCATCTGTTTTCCTTCCCCCCTACAGTTTCCTCCGTTTCGATCCCCCCTTCCCCTCCGTTTTGCTTCCCCCCTTCCCTCGGTTTTGATCCCTACCTACCCTCTTCCCCCCAATTTCGGCCCTGTTCAATTTCGGGCGGGTCCCTACGTGACACCATGTCAAACCACATTGTGTCATTTCGTTATTTGCCGACCATTGTGGCCCGTAATAATTGACACGAAATTACACCCTATACATGAGTAACAAAAGCGTCCGCGCTCTCGCAATTACAACCCAGACGAGCGATTTTTTTTTGCGTCTGAAAAACAGACGGTGGAGAAATATTCGTCACAAACGCCACACTAGTCTAAAATTTTCAGATGATCGTCAGACGGGCGCCAAAAAATTTGTCTGATGTTCAGACAGCCCCAAATCCTAGCGAGCCTTGGTTGTGGGTGGAATGTCACTCTAGCCTAAATATGGAGGACTCGGCCGAAAATTCTAAGTTTTGCGGGGGGGCCGGAGGATCGTCTCTTTTTGTGATGACTTAGCCGAAAACCAGGGGTTGCTAGGAGTATTGGAGAAACGTTCTAGTAGGTATAAATGACTTAGCCGATATTCAGTTGTTGCAGGGGGATTTGGAAGATTCTCTTGGCGTTCAGACCTCGCCGACGCGAAGTGCGTGGGTGGGAGGGTTGTCTCTAGATATGGCGGACTTAGCCGAAATTTGTGTTCAGGGTACAGCCCCCCTATAGCGCTGGGGCATCAGTGTACACTTGTACGAGAACGCTGAAAAATCAGTGTAGGAACACAAAACTTTGCTGAAAAATCAGGCTAAGGGTAAAAAAAAGGCTGAGCAATCAGTGTAGGTACCAGAAAAAGGCCTGAAAAAAGGCTGAATCAGCGTAAAAAGGCTGCAATGTGGGGGCCTGCGTGCAACCAAGAATGTTTCAGGGGTCCTCAGTGTTACGCTCATGACAGAAAAAATCCCCAGCTTGGCGTCAGGCAACCAGAGGCAAGGAAAGGAACTCTAGCCTGCCATTAAGTGAGCTGCCGTGCATACAGCAGCACCCGAAACAGAGCAGAAGGCCAGTAGCATATTTCTCTTCCAAAAGTCCAGGGTGAAGCTTAATCACTAACAAGTGCCCTGACTGACTGACTACTATCCTAGGTAGAGCCCTATCCACACCATTAAATCCTGCCGAAAAGCTGCTTGCCCAACAGTTGTTCGCTGCACAAGCAAGCCATAATATACTCCCTCCCTCCAGCTTCACCTGCTTTCATGCCCTCTAAGATGATGGTACTAGTACTGCCTGCCGGTAGGTAAGCCACTGGAGTGCATATGGATGGGCATGGAATCATGGATCTCTGAACTGAATCTAATCTGTGTGTGTCTGCTGGTGCAGAAGGACGTGTGTAGGTGATGGGACAGGGCAGAGTGGAGGTTATAAAAGGAGCAAGATAGGGAGAGCAGAGCGAGTGAGGGAGTGCACGCAAGGGAGAGATAGGGGAGGGGTGTGAGAGCAAGGGACATGGTAGGAGGGGGTGATGGAGGAAGAGTGGATTGCAGGGTGTGTTTATCGCAGGCGCAGGTGCTGCAGGGCGCGCAGGGGGGCCTTGTCTTGCCCTGGAAGGGGCGATTGGCCCGGAGACGCGCCTGCTGCCTGCTGTTGCTGCTGCTGCTGGAGCTCTGGGTGTAGCATCTGGTGTGGAGCGGTTGGGAGCGGTGGAAGGGTGGAAGGGAGGGTGGGGAGAGGGGAACAGAGGAGAGGGGTCAGGACGAAAGGTGGAGGAGGAGAGCAGGAAATAGAGGAATGGATGGAATGGATGGAATGGGTGGAAATAAGAGAATTGGGCTATGGCCACACACACACACATCCCCAGCACTTCTTGCAATAAGTCGATTTTTAGTCGACTCAAAAATTGACTTATTACACACATCCGCAGTACTTCTTGCACACCCAACTGACCAAGTGACAGCCTTGCAACAAGAGCTTCCACAAAACCCTTCCTTAGACACCAACACCCTTGCCCCTGCCCTTCTCTGCTCCTCTCCTCTCTTCCAACACTTTCCTGCTCCGCTTGCTTGCTTTCCCGCCTCCCCCTCCCATGGCACCAACTCAGAGCCCAAACTCCAAACCACCCCTCACCTCACCCAACCCCCCATCATCACACCCCATCTCTCACCCATGCCATCTGACCTGCAGCATACGAGACGTCTGAAAAACCATCACCATTCTCACACCAGATACCAACCCATGCCACCTCATTCACCCCATCCTACCTGTCCTCCCCCCCCACCACCCCCCCCCCCATCCCACCCCACCCCTCCCCCCCACCTGGTTGAGCGCGTCCCCCCGGCGGCGCATGCGCGTGTGCATGAGGCCCTTGGCGCGGCGCACGTGGTGCGCCACGAATGAGTGGAAGCTGCACACGTGCCACGCCACGCGCTCCGCGCGCGGCCCCTCCACGTGGCGCTTCCCCACCTCCATCGTCACGAACCCCACGTTCGCCGTCAGGTACTGCGCGGGCGCGCCGTCTAGATCCGCGGGCAGTGTGCGCGAGAAGGCGCACTCCGGCGCCCACGACAGCCCGCCGCCCTTCCGCGCTTCTGCTAGCTCCTGGTGAGGGGCGTGCGCGCATGGGGGCGAGGGGGGAAAGGGGAAGGGGGCGCAGGTGCGGAGGTGGGGAAGTGCATGGGGAAAGCGAAGGGGGGTGGGAGGGGAAGAGGGGGACAAAGGGGGTCAGGACCGCATGGCTGGACAGAACGGCCGGTGGGGGGAAGGCGGGGGACGCCGGTGGGGGGGAAGAGAGGGGGGGGAGTGTGGGGGGGTGGGTTTCGGTTGGCAGGACGGATTTAGGGTTTGAAATGCATTCCTCACCCAGTCCACCCGTTGGTGCCTGACTGCCTTGTTCTAGCCGAGACCTGCGTCTGCAGCTGCAGATATCCCAGCATGAGCGCCACACTCACACGGCCCTGCTGGGAAGAGGGATCTGCAGCACCTAGTGTAATGAGTCGATTTTTGAGTCGACTCAAAAATCTGCAGCACCTAACATCACACCCATCACACGCACGACCCGCTCGACCCGCCTCACCTGAAGGAAGGCGGCAGCGAGAATAGCATCACTGGGGTCATGGAAGTGCACGGGGAAGATGATCTTAACGCGATCGCCTTTGCTGGACAGCGACGCGAAGAACACCTCCCCGGGCCGGTGCACTATAGCCTTCATCGCGCTCCCCGCGCCTTCTTCCTCCGCGCCCTCCCCCCCTGCGCCCTTCGCTTGCCCCCCCGCTCCGCCTTCCGCCAGCGCGGTCAGCATGGCGCGCAGCGGCGCGCCCATGACGACTGACCGCACCGCGGCTAGTTTCGCCGCGATGGCGGCGCGCGCTTGCTGCTCCTCGGGGAGCTTCTTAAGATCGACCATTAGCGTCAAATGGTAGTTGCTGGACGGCGGCGTCAGCACCGTCGCGATCTGACGGTACGCCGCGTTTACGGCGTCCATCGCGCCACTTGGCAGCCCGTCACTGGTCGCTAGCTCGGGGGGGATAACCGCCGCTGCGGCGGCGGCTACTTCTGCGGGATCAGCGGAGCTCGTTGCGGCGGTATGTTGGGGAAGGTGGACTGAGAGAAGAATAGTGGAGGAGTCCTCGTCTTTAAGTAGGTATCGCACGCCATCGAACTCTGCGACGAAGACATCGACGGTCGCAGCGGGCTCGCCTGGTCGCATGCGACGCAGAAGCGCCTCTTTCAATGCGCGATTCTCCTCGTCGTGTGCCGTCGCCATGCGATACTCGTTTCGCTCCTTATATCGAATAAAAAGAATGTCGTCTTAGGGAGAGCGGGGGGAGGACAGCGAGAGACCTAGAAAGCCCCGCTATAGAGGACTGTGGATGTGTCCTGCTTTGTCAATGCCATCATCTCGAGAAAACACCTCCTCTTACTAGTAAGCGCCCTCCATCGTCGACTATTTCACACCGCCGCGTTAGCAGGGGAGCATCGAAGGATGCGACCAGACCAGACCCTAATCTGCACTGGCGGCTGATGTTGCTGTGTCGGCGCTGCGAGCTCTCGGTCCCATCAGTATTTTATATCCAAGCAGCATAATTTGGCCCATATTGCTTTTATGGAAATACGAAGTTTGGTAGAGCTTCTTACCGAAACGAAGCACTGAAAAGAGAATATGGACCTTCGTTTGCCTTGTTGTGGGCCACTGTCGCAGAATGGTTGGAATTCCACCTCTCTTGCGACTGTGCTTCCAGGTGACTTGACTATCTATTACTGTCACATTCAGGGTCATGACTCTATCGAGCGTGGCCTTATAAAGGGGGATGAGACCCTGGCTTTGGAACCCTTGGTCGTGCGCCAACCCTTGGTCAGGAACCCTTGCACGCGGAGATCCCAGGGCGCCCTTGGCAGGGGACGTGCCGTCATGCCCCCACAGCACACGAGTTTCCGCTCGAGCCCCCGACACAGTGACCCGCGCTGCGACTCCACTCAGCATGAGTCACGAGGATTCGAGAAATACTTCGATGGATCTCTGGAATAAATTTCTTCCTGCCCGCACTTCTTCCGCATGGGGCTCGTAGAGCCGTCGATCTGCTACTTCGGTACCGATCATATTGCAGAGAGGAGAAGTTTCGAGTCGCTATTTTCCGGGACACGCGAGCCGCGCATGCCTTCTCGTGAACACATGTGATGAGAGACACGAGAAGTGAAGACGTCAATCGAAAGGCGACTTCTCCCCCCTCCCATGCCCCCACCACTCAGTTCACGCAGCAGGTAATTCGCCCCTCTCCCTCCCACCAGCACTACTGCTCGCGCTCCCACATCACCAGAAGCACCAAGTACCAGCAGTGCCCTTGGCAGGCACCCCGCTATACCACCACCACCGTACTTTCCTGCACGTGCTCGCTGCCTTGCTCCCTCCCTACGCAGCTGCATCCCTTGCTTTCTCGTCTCGAACTAGTGTGCTCCGCGACCCTTCTGTGCCATCTGCGCAGACCACCATTTTCCACATCCTGTTCGCGTCGCTTCCCTCCGTTAGCTTCCGCCGAGCACTACTCGTTCGTAATTAATGAAACCCTCATTCAAATTAAATCGACTATTATATCCCCGCCTGCAAAATAGTGATATCGCGGTTGTTAGAGGATCCTTTACTCGGCAGCGCACTTTTTTCAGATTCGCCTGAAATACCCAGCGCAGGCCGTTCCTGCAAGCCGCGTAAACCATCCCCATACCTCGTCTAACATCTCCGTATTTCTTCCCCATCTGCTCCTCCACGCATCTTAGCCCATAGCGGATCTTACTATCGCGAGTATAACTAGCACCGCTGGAACTGAGGGCAGGGCTCCATGGGAGATAAGTGGCTCAATCAGGCCATAAGAGGTCGCAATCGCAGCAGCCCGCCGAAGCAGCTATCCAAGCAACATCGCCGCCCCTCCCCCCGGGATGCCCCCCCCGCGTGGGACCACCCGCAGGAGCGTCGCCGCTTAGTGCGCTCGTCATGGCGGCCGGCGGCGATGGAAGGCGCGTACGACGATGACGATGAGGAGGACTCGTCGGAGGACGACGAGGGTGAGGACGAGGAGGAAGGGTGCTGGGCGCACTGCTGCGGGGAGTGCGCGCGGTGGCAGCGCGTGTGCGCGGCTCTGCTGGCGTTTACGATCATCAGCGCGCTGCTCTTCTCTCTCTTCTCCGCCGCAGAGATCCTCCCCGTAGGTTCCGCTCTTCTCCCCTTCCTCCGCGTGCGCTCTGCTCCTTCCCCTCTCTGCCGTCCGCGTAACTCTCGCCGTCGGCGCGCTCTTCCCTGTCCCTCCCTTTCCCCTTGCTCGTTGTTCCGTAACGCCGATCCTCCTCCCTTTCCTTCCCACGACCCCACCACCACTCGCAACTCGACTTACCTAGCCCACTCTCCTCGCCTCCTCTCCTCTCCTCGTCCCTTCTCCGCTCCCTTCCGTGTCTGTCTCCCCACCCCCACCCCCTACCCCCCACCCACCGCAGCCGGCGTTGAGTTTCGCCATGTCGGCCCCGGAGCAGAAGCCGTCCAGTCAGCCCATCAACGGCGCGGAGCTATCAGGTTCGTCATCGCGCGTCCTCCACCTCTCGCCTCCTCTCCACCTCTCTTCCCACACTGTGCCTTCTTTTGAGGTAACTTTTGAGTCAACTCATTTAGTCGCCTTCCCACACCGTGCCTCCCTTTGCCTCTTGATTCCCGCCCCTTAATAAGGGGCTTTCCTCCATCCAGCCCCCTAAGTCTCTCCGCGTCCTCTCTTGACTATTGCTACCTCAACCACAGCCGCCTTCTCCGCGCCTCCCCCCGCCCTCCCCGCGTTCCCCCCTTCCCCGTGCGCTGCGCCAGCCCCCGACAGTCTTGCGCTGGGCACAATGTTCCCCACGCTCACTCCCGACACGGCGCAGCCGCAGCAGGTGCAGCCGCACTTGCTGCACCAGCAGCTGCAGCAGCAGCTGTTGCAGCAGCGGCAGCAGCAGGAGCAGCTGCAGCGCCTGCAGGAGCAGCAGCAGCAGCTGCTACAGCACTTTCAGCAGCAGGTTTTGCGCCCCGCGCATGCCCGCTCCGCGGAACCACGATCTCCGCGACAGACGCAGGCGCAGGCGCAGCAGTCGTTGCAGCCGCTAGGAGCTACCGGAGAGAACCCAGCAGAGGCGGCGGTCGCGCGACCAGCAGCCGTTACACAGTTTCAGCAACAACCCCCGCAAGTGCCGCTGCAGCAGGCGGGTAATGAGCAGCCAGGAGTACCCGAGGCATTTCCGCAAGCGCTGCCGCGAGTTGCGCCCCAGCAGCAGCAGCAGGCGCAGCTACCGTCGCAAGCGGCGGAGGCGGCAGCGGAGATTCAATCGCAGGCGGCGGTGGCGGTAGCGGGTGCTGCGCCAGTGCAGCAGTCGACGCAGCAGTTGGCGCAGCCGTCCCCCCAGGCGGAGATTGTATCCCTCCTGGACACGCGCGCGGCACGCACCGCCGCGCGGGTAGGCGGACACGCGCTGGGGGGATGCGGAAAGACGATTCCGCTCGCCGCGGAGGTAAGTGCCGGAACATGATGATGATGACGACGGCGCAGCCACCCTTGCCCTTACGTGACGTCCGCACACACCCCCGCGTTCCCTTGCCTTGTCTCTTTGTGCCTCCCTAAACTTGCATGTCCTTTGTTCTCCCCCCCCCAAACCCCCACACCACCCACCTCCGCGCAACCGCCACTGCGTCCAGGGGGCGCCAGGCGGAGGGCAGCACCGCAAGGTGAAGCTCGACGACTGCGGCCCCGCCGCCGCCTCCGCGCAGCCCGACGCGCCTGTGGACGTGGCGTTCGATGATTCGACAGGTGCGCGCAGCGGACAGAGATGAGGGTTCTGGGGTGGTGGGGAGGGAGGGGAGGGGATGGGAGGGGAGGGAAACGGGCTGGTATGGTGGTTGATGCCGCACTCCTCGACTCCTATCACATTGTAGCATGGCGCATCGTCGTGGAGGGCTGGGGTGGAGTGGCGCACTGCCCTTGGGTTTGCCCGTCAGGCGAAATTGGGGCAGTTTGCCAGAGGGTTAGGTATGTGCACGGCGCCTGGCGCCCGGGTGGTCATCACTCCGCCCTCTCCCCCCTCCCCCCCCTCCCGCATGCGCAGACGTGATGGCTCCAGGCGCTTCATCGGCGGGGGAAAGTGATCCGCGACAGGAAGAGGGGGAAGCAGCACAGGCAGGACCAGAGCAAGAGCAACAGCAGCAGCAGCAGCAGCAGCAGCAGCAGCTAGAGGTGCAGGTGCAACAACAAGACTTGGAGTCAATACCAGCTGCTGCCGTCAGTACTGAAGCAAACACGCCTGGCTCACCCACTCAACCGATACCCGGCGTGACCAGCAACGCAGGAGCCGCCGCCTTGTCCTCCGCTCTGCATTCCTCCCCCTCCCTGCCCCCCTCCTCCGCTGCTACCAACGCACACGGCCCACAACCATCACAAGACCTCCAATCGACTCCCACCGATCCCTCTCTGGTTAACGGAGTTGGAGCTGCAGCTGTGGGCGCAGCAGCGGGTGCGTCCCGCCCCTCCTGGCCAGTAGAGCCCGCCACCTTCCGTGGCGCGCCCAGTCACCGGCCGCCGCAGCAGGCGCAGCAGGAGCAGCCACAGCAACAGCAGCAGTGGCAGCAGCAGCAGCAGCAGCAGCAGCAGCCGCAGATGGAGCCGCAAGGCAAGCAGCTGCAGCAACCGCCGCACCAGCTGCCACAACAACCACAGCAGGCGCAGCTGCAGGGGCAGAAGAGGGCGAAGCAGGGAGGGGGGAAGGATGGGGACAACGTGATGGCGACGGCGTACAGAGCATGCATCGACCACACTCGCGTGCAGCGAATGGGTGAGCAGGCCGCTTGGGGACCTGGCGCGAGAGAGAGCTTGGGATACCATGGGATAGAGCTCTTTGTTGTGGGAGGCTGGGAGACCATGGGGTCTGCGCAATGTCACCTCACTTCACCTCACCTCACCTCACCTCACTTCGCCCGCCTCCCTTACCTACTACCCACCCCATCAACCCCCCCCATTCATCCAGCCACAAAAAAACAACCTTCTCTCCCTCTCCTCCTCCCCCCCCACCACCCTCCTCCTTCCCCTCCCTTCACCCCCCCCCCCGCTCCCCCCCCTCCCCCCTCCCTCCTCTCGCTTCCCCCCCCCCAGCGGAGCACTCCAGGTGACCGTACCTATTGGTGCGTAGCGAGCACGTGGGGCTGGTGCGGCAGCAGGAGCAATTTGAGGCGCGGCATCAATTACCCTTCTCTCCCCAATCCCTCTCTCTCTCACCCCCCCCCGCCCCCCCCAGCGGAGCACTCTGGGTGGCCGTACCTGCTGGTGCGGGGGGAGCACGTGGGGCTGGTGCGGCAGCAGGAGGCGCTGGTGCGCGCGCTGTGGGTGGCCAAGGCGACGGGGTCCGTGCTGGTGCTGCCCTCCTTCCTCAAGAGCTTTGACGCGCACCCCTCGCAGCCAGCCAGCCTCGACCAGTTCTTCAACACGCAGTACCTTATTACACATGTGTGTGCTGCTGTGGGGAGTGGTGTGATGGAGTTGGCTGGGCTGGGCTGGGGTGGGATGTGGTGGGGTGGTGAATTGTGTGTGTATGTATATTAGTTGCAGAGCACATGCTTGCATGTGTTTTTTGTGAAACCGTGCTAACTATGCGCTTTCATCTCCCCTCTTCGCCCTCATTTCCCTACCCTGTGTCTTCCCTTCCCCTCTGACGTCCCCTCTGCCCTCTCCCACCCTCCCATGTGCAACCTCGTGCCGGCACGCCATGGTAAACCAAAACACACGGCATGGCATTTCCCTCACCAGATGTACTGCTCGTCAGGTACTTCCCTCCTCCTCCCCTCTACACTCCCCCCATTGCTCCCACCCCCTCCCCGCTACGTCATCACCATCCGCCTCCACTTTCTCTCCTTTGCCATCCTTCTCTCCATCACCCTCGCCAGATGTACTGCTCTTCAGGTACACTAAAACCTCAACCCCATATCCCTCCTCTCCCACTCCCCATGTCTCCAAACCCCTCTCCACTACACCATCAGCATTCTCCACTTACGCTCCTCTTTTGCTGACGACCCTTCCCATCCCCCCTCCTTCCACCCATCATCCCCTCACGTACCCCTATCCCTTGCTGCCTGCAGAGGTCTGGGCGGTGCAGGCTCTTCCCAGCAGCATTCAGGAGCAGCTACCAGCGGGCGCCAGTGCGCGGGACGTGGACGCCATTCTCTCAGCGCCGGGCTCACTGGCTCTGAGTGTGCCGCGGGATATAGTGGCAGGCAGCGCTGACATCAATAACCCCGGGCTGCTCAGATGGCTAGAGACCGTGCGACAGCAGACCACCAAGGGGAAGGTGAGAGGAGGAGGAAGTGGGAAAGAGTGTGGGAGGTTATGTGCTCAGTCTACTCTTCCCCATTCCCATCTCCGGTTTTAGTCCATTGTCCGCCCCCCACCCCGTCAAACCCTTTCTTCCACAAACCCCCATTCCTCCCTCCATCCCCCCATCCAACCACCCAGCTGCGGCTGCTAGTTTACGATACGGACCCGCCGCTGGCCCTCGCATCCCCCGACCAGCAGCGGCTCAAGAAGAACGGGCTGGCAGCGCTGCGGGCGTCTACAGACGTGAGTGCGGTGATCACGCAGCTGCTGCACCGCCTGCGAAAAACCTTCCAGGAGCGCCTAAGGAAGGATCTTTCCCAGTTCCAGTTTGCGGCTCTGCACATTGGGGGGGATGCTGCGAGTGACTTTGCAGACGGGCCTGGCGATGGCGGTGGTAGCTGGGACCGTGCGTTCACGGGCAGTGGTGGGAATAGCAGCAGTGGGAATGCGGGCGGGGATTATTTTGATAGGATTAGCGCCGCGGAGAATGGTGGTGGTGGTGGTAGTACTGGTGGTGGTGCTGGTGATGGGGACAGTGGTAGCATCCTGGCGGCAATCCGAGAGGCGCTCCTATCGAACGTGGATCCTTCCCAGATGCTTCTGTATGTCACAGTGGGTCGATCCGAGGAGCATACAACAGTGTTGCAGGAGCTGAATGCGGCCTACCATGTGGTTACCAAGGACACGCTCATCCCCAATATCAACCGCAGATTCCCTTCGCATGAGATGCAAGCGGCATTCGAGCAGGGGGTGGTCAAGGAGGCGTCTCTCTTCCTCGCCCCGTCCATGTCAGCGTTCGCTGGGTTTATCTTCCAGTCACGGTGCTTCACGAGACCGACGCTGGGGCAGAAGCCTCTGAGAGACACGGTGTTTTATGACCAGAGCACAAGTGCTGCCGCGTGCCATTTGCGGCCTATGGGTTGACAGGAACGGCATGGATGTAACAGGCTTAGAACGGGACGACCGTACGGTATAATATCAAGCACGACCAAGGCGAATAGAGCTATGGCCAATGCAAGGGTTGCATGTGGAACGTATCTATGTTGCTTCATTACATACCGCTTCCAGCGGGGAGCTACAGACTCTTAGCGGTTATAAGGTGGATGAGGAGTTGGCACTGGTAGGTGGTGAAGACTGCGTCTCTCGTGTTTGGTGCCACCTTCCCCTCCATGTTTGTTCTTTTTTTTTTTTTCGTGATTACATGGTATTGTGGCTTGTTTCTTATCATACATTCTTGCGTTGCTTACACAAGTGCATTAAGGCATCATGGTACCGGCATGGTGTTCATAATACGGTATGTTAGCGTTTAAGAAGTGACCGTGGCATGGAAATATGCAATGTCATTAGGAGAGTGGAAATATGCTATGTTATATACAATGTGGAAATCTTGGATTAACTTCTAGTCGGAAATAGCACGTTTCTACCAGGATCTCCACAGTAATCAGTATACCGAAGGCATCCCCACCGAGTATGCGCGACCACGCCTTCTTCACGCCCGCTTCACGCCTTGCCTGTTTTACACTGCGCCTTGGGAGTTGCCGCAACCTTGGGAATGTCTTCAGGGCGTGTCCAGAGCGTACGTTTCGGGCTTAGGAGAGTTAGGCACGTACTACGCAAACGCCATAAAACTGTAGCGTCGAGTGTCAATGTGACGTCCTGTGTCCCCGAGGACCCTGGTGTACTGCGCGAATAGCTCCGGGGTGGACACGTGCCGCGAATCACAACCCAACCAGAATTTTCGTCGGCCAATGGTCCAGATGTTCGCGCAGGGCGTTTTTCGTGCATGACGAAATGATTATGTGGTTACGAGTCACTGCGGACCAGGTGCCTTTGTACGTTTTCGCCCGTTTTCGCCCGGTTCGCGCGAAGGTACCGGTGCTGCACCGCGCGTTTTTGTATCAAGAATTGTGTATGTCCACATACGGGTCATGAAATCCTTGTTCACTGTGTTTCGGGTGCACTGCACCCCATGCTGTACGCTAAACGTACGCGCTGGACACGCCCTTAGACGAGAAGTCACCCTCCGTTGCAACCGCCAACTTGAGAATCCCAAATCCTGATGTGTTCGGCATGACGCTCTGCTGGTTCGAAGTGAGCCCAGCACAACAAGCGCCCCCCATTCGCCAAATCCATTCCCCATGCATCCACGCCCGTCCATCATCCTGCTGGGGGCCGCCCGTGGCCCCCAGATTATCCCGTCTCTCCGCACATCCACCTGGCTGGCCCCCACATCCAGAGTCACAGTCTCATCCATCGCCGCCACGGGCGTGGACGGTCCGGATGAGGAATCCATGTGGCATCGACGGTCGTCAGCGACTGACCGTTCTGGTGACACGAGCTTATCATGATCGTTCTGGTGACATGCCCAGTCCCACTCAGCGTTCAAGTTATCCACTCCTCGGGCTACCGTACCTCCTCGGCCTGTCACTCTGGCCTAGGCCTTCCATATGTCCTCTCATGCATCAGAGTCGAGTGGTCCCCTCGTTCCATCCAGACGGGCTTTCATTTCATCTCCACTCATCTCGCCTTTGTCTCGCCTTACTCTCGCATTCTGCCGCCACGGGTGGCGATACCGCGCGTTCGACGATGGTATTTTCCACTCCAAGCTCCCTCAAGCTCGCAATTCTTTGACATTGGCTCCAAGCTCGCGTGTATCCTCCTTTCCGCTGATTCGGAATCCGGCTTCGTGGTGCTGTATCGCTTTCCGCGCGCCGACTGGCATCCATGGCTGGTCTGAAGTACGACCCTGACTTCTGGAACGTGGTGCAGCAGAGACTGCAGCCCAGGTATCCCGCATCCACCAGAATGGTTTTCATGTCGGGACGTAGTCGCGTATCCGCTGCCTGTGCTTCCATCTCCCTGAAGCTTCGTCTCCTTTCGTCTTCCTGTCTGACTGTCGCTTCTAAGCGCCTGCTTCTGGCAAGAAGCTCCGTTTTTCCGTTGTCAATCATGCCGTGTTTTCTTCCCACAAAATATGCTTACCCGTGCGAATCACGGCGTCCTCCTTCTACCTTCCGTGAATCTGCCTCTCAGCCCACAAGAAGTGCCGCCGCCAGTTCATGCCCCAGGTGAATCCAGCTTCACCCATGCATCTCCCGAGGGCCGTGATCGTGATTCTAGTGAAGCCGATGGAAGCTGGGGGGTGACAAAGGCGAAGGAGCCTGAAGTGGAGTGGCTGGATCCTTCTCTGATCCGATACAGCCAGTCGACCATATGCGAGGCCTTCTCACGCCCACCGGCAAAGGCAGCGACGGACACAGCTCCAGAACAGAGGAGGTGCGCTTGACCTGATTGCCTCGCCCCTGTTTTTTTACATCTTCTCTCTTTTCCTCAAACCTCCCCTGCCACCACAATGGATCCAATCCCTGTGCCCCCTCAGCTATGCTCGTATTGCAGCAGCCGCACCGAGGAGCAGCAAGTACACCATCTTCGATGCCGTGCGCGATCTGAATGAGGGCAAGAGCAAGGTGGAGGACTTCCCCCCGATCCGAGTGGTGGAGCACGAGGGGCTGCTCTTCTCCCTGGACAACCGCAGGCTCTACGTGTTCAAACTGTTCGGGATCCGGGGGTTGCGCGTGCGTGCACGCCGTGTGCCTGCTGACAAGGAGCTGTTTCAGAAGCTCACGTGCTCGGGGGTGGGGGATGAGAGAGGGAGGACGGTGATAGTGCTGTCTGAGGAGGAGGCGAGGAAGGTGGGGCGGGTGCGGCAGCTGGAGCAGCACGTGCTCAAGTGGAGCGTGGAGGACATCATGAACGACTACCTGATTGCCAGGAAGGTAAGGCTGCACCATCGGCTCACTAGTAGTCGTTCGGGTAACAGAAGCCCCGCAGTCGCTTTTCTTACAACGTTATTGCGACTTCTTTTCTTCCACATGAGCTCAAGCCGTCAATCATATCAGAGCACTTCAGTAACTTGCTTCTCGTTTGCCCAACTCCTTTCTCCACAATGATAACAACCCGTGCAACCCGATCAGGTGCGCCCCATCCCCGACACCTTCCCTGACATCCGCTCCTACCTCTCTGTCTTCCGCTGGCCGCTGGTGGAGGAGTGCCGTGCGAGCTTGAAGTCGAGCTTGGGTAAGCTCTCAGCATCGTCACCCTTGAAGATTGACATCCGTAAGCTGGAGAGGCTGGATGGGTATGTGGCAGGCGCGGACGATGATGATGAGGAGGAGGAAGAGGAGAGTGAGGAGGGTGTTGGGTTTTACATGGGCCAGGATGATCCCTTTGGCAGTGATTGGTATGGCGAGGGTGACGGATACGGAGGGTCGTTTGGGGAAGCAAGGAGGGTGAAGAAGCAGCAGCCGAAGGTGCACTCGGACACAGGGCGGTTCTGTGCGGTGGTGTTTGAGGTTGACCGGGAGAGCCTGGCTCGGGACAGGGCAGCAGGGAGAGCCGGAGGCAGCCTTTCTGGAGAGGTGAAGCTGAAGCCGACTGATGTGGTGCTTCTGTCCACTGTTGCTCCTACCCAGCCTGACGACCTGCTGCGCTCAGGCGTGCTGTATCTGCTGGGCGTCCTTCTTCCGGACCGAAACGTAGCACAGGGGGGCGGGGACGGGAGTTCTTACTTCAAGGCTAAGATATTCGGTCCCAAGGAGTCGCCTGAGTTTAAAGGACTGGAGGACGCGCTGAGGGGGAAGAGGGGCGATGAGGAGGAGGGGATCACTTGGTATGCAACTCAGGTGGATAGCTTTGCCACGCCCCAGCGCATCTGGGATGCGCTGCACGCGCCGCTGGGGCAGGAGGAGTGGGACGAGATGGGGGAAACGAAGGGAGTGACGATGATGAAGCGGATGCTGGAGGAGGTGCTGTGCTCGGATGAGAGGGGGGGAGACGGCAGGAGGGGTGGAGCGAGGCGTGGCAGAGAAGACAGAGAGGTAAGGATGGAACCAAAGCTGCTTGTAATAGGAGGCCGATAGGGGAACTGCCGCGTGCATATACAGAACTAGCGGCATGTCTGCTTCTTCTCGTAGGTCCCATTGCTTCTTCCCCTCCCATGCTATCTTGGTGATGAGCAGCAGCGACTGAGTACGTTTCGACCAGCCATCTCCATTGCGCCCGAGGCGGTTCCAGAGCTCCTGCAAGCCGTGGGTGACTACTGCCATGCGCGTCGTCTCAACCACCCCCAGCAGACAGCTGTTCTCGCCTGCATCAGGGGCTTCCTCTCTGCTGCTGCTGCCGCCTCTTCCACCAACGCTGCTGCCTATTCTAACTCCCCCTCCCCGTTCTTCTCCTCGCCCTTCTCCTCCTCCTCCTCCTCCTCGCAATTCTCGTCCTTCTCCTCGTCCATCGACTCCTCCATGCCTCGCCGTCTGCTGCAGCTGGTGCAGGGGCCGCCGGGCACAGGCAAGACGCACACAGTCTCTGTGCTTCTCTCCGTGGTGCTCTCGCTTGGCGTGCGCACGCTCGTCTGCGCCCCTACCAACGTGGCCACGGCTGAAGTGGGCAGGCGAATGCTTCGCATGGCTCTCTCATGTGATGAGTCCTTACAGTTTGCAGGGTATTGCCAAGTCCAGCAGCAGCAGCAGCAATACGGCTGGCAGGGTAAGGAAGAGGGATCAGTGGCATTTATAGGAGGTGGGAAGCTGAGGGTTGGGGACATAGCCCTTGTGGCGAATGAGGATCGGCTGGAGGTAGATCCGGAGCTGGGGATGATTCTGGTGGGGAGCGAGAGGAAGGGGACAAGCGGGAGTGGGCAGAAGGTCACATACAGTGGGCGAGCGGGGAGGCTTGTTGCGGCGCTCTCGCTTTTGACTGGCTGGCGAGCCTCTTTCCCCAAACTGGTCGCTTTCTTGGAGAGCTCCTGGGAGGATTTAAACTGCGAGTTCCAAGCAAATAGCAAGAAGGAGGAGGAGGAGAAGGCAAGGGAGGAGGAAGAGTCTCCGAGTGCGCGTTACCAAGGCCATGGTAGGCGCGATGATCAGAGGGTGGGAGCCGTGAAGGAGGCTGCTCCCAGCGTTGTGAGTTATTTCCAGAACCGCGTGGTGCTCCTCTCTCTGGATGCTATGGAGGGAGCGGTGAATCTCGCAGAGGACCTTCCGTCTGCTCTTCTGCCTGAGAGGGAGCGGCTGCTGCTCCTCCAGGCGTTTGATCTCATGGCAGCGCTGCTGCAGCTGGTGAAGTGCTCTGGACTGTCTCCTGCTGTTGTCAAGGCGTGGTTAGATGGCACGGGAGGGGTTGCGGGAGGGGAAGGGAGCGTGGAAGCAGTGGTTGAGGAGGCCAGTGCCCTGCTTGGTTTTGGCAGGAATGCTGGGGGGGGGCTGGACAGTGATTCTGCTGGGAGCAGTAGCACGAGCAGCAGCGGTGGCGGCGCCACCACCACCACCACCACCAGAATGAAGATGGTTCGGGCTGCATGCAGCTCGAACGGAAGCAGAAGCCGCACCACCAGCACCACCATCGCACCGACACAAGCTCGGACCCTTTTCCCCTCCATCCGCAACTGCCTTCGCCTCATCTCCTACGCCAGCCCAGCTTACAGCATCAAAAATCTCAGCGGCGCCCCTACTTTCGCCTCCGTGGCTGCAGTGTGCATAGAAAACGCCAAACTCGTGCTTTCCACCGTCTCGTCCTCTGCTCGTGCTCTGCTGCGGTACTCCCCTCCCTTCCCCCTGCTGCTGCTGGACGAAGCAGCCCAACTGGTGGAGGCAGAGAGTCTGGTGGCTCTAGAGGCCAAGGGGCTGCGCTACGCTGTGCTCGTGGGTGACCCCAAGCAGCTGCCAGCCACTGTTCTGAGCAAGGTGAGTGGTGGTAGTGGGAATGGCTCAAATTTCGGGACAGGTTCTTCTCTGCTTTTCAACATGTGTCCTGCATCCCCCGACACAGTGGTTGCTCCTGCTTCCGTTTCCATGTGTCCTATAATAACCCCTTCTTTCCGGCTGCTCACTCACTTGTGATGCAATATCCCCCCCAGGTGGCGGCAGAGAGCAAGTACAACCGCAGCCTGTTTGAGCGGCTGCAGGGCAAGGGGTGGGAGGTGCAGATGCTGAGTGTGCAGTACCGCATGCACCCCGACATCAGCCGCTTCCCCTCGCACTGCTTCTACCAGGGGCGCATCGAGGATGGGGCCAACGTGTGCCACCCCTCGCACTGCCCGCCGCACCTGGAGGCTCTCTTTGGCCCGTATGTGTTCATGCACGTCAAAGGCAAGGAGGAGAGGGAGGTGGTATCAGTGGAGGGTGGCTCTCGCAGTATCGCGAATTCGGTGGAAGCTGTGGTGGTGCTGGCGCTGCTCAAACGACTCTCGGATGGTGCGCCTCTTTCCTGTGCTCTCTCGCATCTACTCGTCTACCCCGTACCTCCTTACACCTTGCCGTTTGCACTTCTTTCCTCTTGGCAGCTCTCGTCATGTTGCTCACGACAAAATATTTTTTTACCGGGGCTTGCATCCTTAAGATTCGCCCATGCCTCTCTCCTCCTCTAAATTTTGCAGCGTGCAAGGGTGCACCAGGAGCGAGCGCGGGGGCATTGCTCAAAGTGGGCCTTATCTCGCCGTATGCCTTGCAAGTGGAGTATCTAAAGCGAGCTATGGAGTACCAGGCGTGGCCGCACCTGGTGGTGGAGGTGAAGAGCGTGGATGGCTTTCAGGGCAGGGAGTGCGACGTGATCATCGTCAGCACTGTGCGCTCCAACAGCCACGGCAGCATCGGATTCGTCTCTGACGCCCGGCGGTAGGTGCCGTGGGTGAAGAGGGTGGGCAGTGGTGGATGCTGAGGGGGTGGTGCGTTGTTGCAGAATGTCCGTCCGCCCTGACAGAATCCAGAAGGCAGCGCTGCTTAGCTGTCTGTCTTGCACGGTGGGCTGACCCAGACATGCGAGAGAGTGGTTCTGCAGGGAACCGTGGGACGTCATGATTTCATACCCGTATGCCTCCTTGATTTCAGGAATGTCTGATCTTAATCCTTCCTACCCTAATCCCCCATACCTTTATCCTCCCTACCTCCCTCCTCTCTCCCCCCCCCCCCGCCTTCTTTTCTAACCCCCGTCAGCCTCAATGTGGCAATAACTCGGGCGCGGTGCTGCATGTGGGTGGTGGGCGACAGGGAGACGCTGCAGCGGGGGGACAGCACGTGGGAGCGGCTGCTGGTGGACGCGGAGCAGCGCGGGTGCGTGGTGGAGGCGCAGAGGGACGTCAAGCTGCGCAGGGCCATCGAGAGGCGCCAGATGGAGCTCGGGGAGGTGCAGCAGCTGCTGCTGCCCAATTCGGGCCTCTGGGACTCGCTGCTCTGGGAGGTGAGATGTGCTATTTTTGGGGGGGGGGGATCTTGTGTTTAAACGCGGTACTTGGTGGAGGTTTCATACATACGGAGGTGGGGATTGGTGGGGGGGGGGGGGGGGGGGGGTAGAAGGGGTTGAGTGTGTAGTGTGAGTTTGTCATATGCAGTTGGAACGAGGCTCTGTATCGATAGTGGAGAGAATACAACACCCTCACAACATTGTTCAGGTTGGGGTACATTCATTGATGCTTTCTCTCCCTCTTATCCACCCCTCCCTCCCTCCCCACCACCAACAGGCAACCTTCAGCCTGGAGTTTCAGCGCAGCATGCGGGAGCTGCGGTCGCTCGAGGTGATCAACGCGGTGCGGCGGCTGATGGGTGGGCACCGGCCGCCGCGCAGCAGCAAGCCGCGGCACACCCTCAAGGACCCGCGGTACTTCGACATCATCCACGTGCAGGCCGTGGGCAAGCACCAGCTCGTCTGGACCGTGGACGTCTCCCGCACCTCGTTCAAACAGGTCCGTGCTCAGTGATCTGCTGCTCACGTCAACCTGTGCCTCTACCATGTCTTTCCCTCTCTCTCGTTCTTTCCCGTGCGCCCCTCTCGTTCCCCAACAGCTGGTCTCATTCTCCTCTCGTTTCCTCACGAATGTGCGCATCTGTTCTCCTCTCCCTCGTCCCTCCTCGTTGCTGCGTCATGGTGCAGATAATCCGGGTGTGGGATGTGGTGGAGGAGCAGCACGTGCTGAAGTGGCTGCGCCGCCTCGAGGGGGGACTGGGAACGTACTCAGACGAGGCCTTGGACCGCTGCGCCAGGTGTGACGACCGCCTCGCTCGCAGGGTGCAGCCGCTGCAGTTCCCCAAGGATCCGAGCTTCACCTGGCACAAGGCGAAGCCCTCGCGAGTCATATCTGCAGCTGCCGGTGCAGCAGGTATGTGGTTGTTAGGCTGAGACGATTTTTGAGGCACCTCAAGAATCATTTTTTGAGGCACCTCAAAAATCGAGTCTTATCTGCAGCTGCCGGTGCAGCAGGTATGTGGTTGTTGGACTGAGTATTCCTGCCACACTTAGCTTAAGCCTCCACCAGCTCACTTTCCTCGTACGTCTCTCTTTCCCCCCACCCCTCCGTATTTCTCTAACTTCCGCGCACTTTCCCTTGCTGGCCTCCGTTCTGCGTTCTCCTTCCCTCTCCCCTCCCCACCACCAGAGAGCGCACTGGAGCGGGCGCCAGTGGACGAGAGTGTGCTTCTAATGAAGTTCTACCAGCTCTCCCTGGGCTCAGCCCGCCAGCTGGTGACAGCAGCACAGGGCGAGCTACCGTTCGAGGTGAACGAGCAGGAGGCGCTCATAGTGCACTACCCTGGGAGCCTCTTTGTGCTCGGACGGTCCGGCACAGGCAAGACAACCATCATCACGCATCGCCTGCTGCGCTTGGAGCGGCTGTACTTGCATGCCATGGGGGAGCGCGGAGCATTGGCTCCTAGTGTTGGGCTTGGGGGGAGCGGAAGAGGAGGGGAGGTGGGAGGTGCAGGTGGGGATGGAGTGGGAGGAAGGAAGAAGGGGGTGGGTGATGGGAAGGGGAGTGGAGAGGCGGAGGGGGCGGGTGTGGGGACGCTGCGGCAGGTGATTGTGACGCTGAGTCCGCGGCTGTGTGCGGCGATTCGACACCATGTGACCAAAGTGAGACGGTGAGTGGTTCGCCCTGCTGGCGGTGCTGTTTGTGGTGGAGATGGGGATGCGATGTGCACGTCTGATCGTCTGCCCGGAGGCTCCGGTGCCTTTCCCCACAATCCCTCCTCCTCATGATCTAGATTATTCTTTTGACTCGCTCATACTCTCCTCATGCTTCTCTCTTTCGCACAACCCTAAACTCTGTGCCCGTTTCCATCCGTCCTTGTGTTGTCTGCCAGGACCATGCTGGAAGCAGACGCCATCCTCCCTGCCAGCAATGCAGCACCCAAGCCAGGCCAGGGGGGGCAGCAGCAGCAACAGGAGGAGGAGGAGGCAGGGGAGGCGGACGAGCTACTACTGTCAGAGGAGGCAGAGGAGAAGCTTATGGGAGACCTGCCAGAGTCTCTGGATGAAGTGCAACCTGGTGCTTTTCCTCTCGTGGTCACGTTCAAGAAGCTGCTCAGCATGGTCAATGCTACTCTTGCTCGCCCGTTTCATCAGGATGGCTTAAAGGCGGGTGGGTGGCATGGGAGGGGGAGTGCGGCTGGTGGGTGGAAGAGTGGGGGTTATACCGGTGGGATGGCTGGGGGGAGGGATGGCGATGGCAGTGACGACGAGGGGCGTGACTACGATGGGAGTGATTATGAGTCTTGTGAGGATGGTGAAGATGATGAAGACAATGGGGAGGGGGAAGAGGAGGAGGAGGATGGAGTGGGAGGGTACGCATTTGGAAGGGAGTACCGCCAGTCACACTGGCACAGGGACAGCACACAAGGCACCAGTGGAGCCAGCAGCAGGAACACTGGCCACGGCACTGCCAGCGGCAGCGGTGCTGGTGGTAGCAGTAGCGGCGCTGGCGTCCTGTGTCTCCCTGATGAGGTGGACTACGATCGCTTCGAGTCTCTCTACTGGCCGCATTTCAACACGTCAGTCACTCGACGCCTGGACGCCTCCCTTGTGTACAAGGAGTTCTTCTCCCACATCAAGGGCTCCCTGCTTGCTCTGAGGTCGCCACGTGGCAGGCTCTCTCAAGAGGACTATGTTGCTCTGGCGCAGTCCCGGGCTTCGAGCTTCGATGAGGCGCAGAGGGAGGTGATCTACGGGCTGTACGTGCAGTATGAGCGGCTGAAGCGGCAGAAGGGGGACTACGACCTCTGTGACTATGTGTACCATGTGTATAAGGAGCTGGAGAAAGGGGCGACAAGGATCTGCACCCCTGCTGCTCTTGCTGCTGCTTCTGCTGCTGCTGCTACTGCTGCAACTAGCAGGTCTTCGTCTCGTGCTGCTAAGTCCCTTGCCGCTTGTGGCGATGACAAGGTGCTTGCCGGCCCGCCTTTCCAGTACGTGTACGTGGACGAGGTGCAGGACTTGACTCAGGCGCAGATCGCTATAATGCGCTTTCTCTGCGCGAACACAGCTGGTGGGTTTGTCTTTGCGGGGGACACGGCACAGACAATTGCGAGGGGGGTGGACTTCCGGTTTCAGGACATCCGCAGGCTGTTCTATGAGCTGTTTCTGGGGAAGAAGGTGGATGTGGGGGGGGAGGGGGGAAGAGAGGGGCTGGAGGGCGGAGGAGAGGTGGTTTCAGGTGGTAGTGGCATTGCTGGTGAAGGTGGTGGTGGGGGTGGTGGGTGGGAGGGGGAGAGAGGAGAGGAGGAGGGACGGGCACAGGAGAAGCAAGGGAGGTGGGCAGGAGCAGCAGCAGCTCGAGGCAGGCAGAAGCTGACTGGCAAAGGGAGGAGGATGCTGGAGGAAATCGGGAGTGGGGCAGCAGAATCGGCATCAGCGGTCAGTGCAGCGCACAGCTCAGTCAAGGTCAAGAACAGAGAAGAGCAGATGGGAAGAGGCATGGGAGCAAAAACATCAGCACAGGAGCGGGCATCGTGTGCCGAGATGCCAGATCTGTTCTTCCTCTCTCAGAATTTCCGTGCGCATAATGGCATAGTGCGCCTAGCCGACAGTGTGGTGCAGGTGCTGCTGCACTTCTTCCCCCATGCAGTCGACCGGCTGGCTCCGGAGTTCAGTCTGATCGATGGCGAGGCGCCGGTGTTTCTGGATGCTAACGCCAACGATGATGTGGTGACGCAACTGTTTGGGAAGAAGGGGGCCATTGGAGGCGGCGGGTGCGAGTTTGGAGCGGAACAGGTAAGGCGCAGTTGGTTGCAGAGAGGTGGGGTTGAGAGAGGGGTGGATCAACGGGTGTTGGGAGAGGGAGAGGAGGAAGAGAGAGAGTGTGTGAATGGGGGGGGATGTAGGGTATAGTGGTGTGATGGAGGGGACAAGAGCATTCTTTTCTCATCCTGTTTGCTCCACTTGATTCTCTGTGCTGCCTGAAACTTCTGGTTGTTTACCCACTGGTGTTCCCCACCCGCCTCTACTCTCTCCCTTGTGCCTCAGGTCATCTTGGTGCGAGATGCAGAGAGCCGCACGGAGCTCGTCAAGCGGATCGGATCCAAGGGACTAGTGCTCAGCGTGCACGAGTGCAAGGGGCTGGAGTTCCAGGTGCGCACCATGCAGCCATGCGGCTCAGAGTGGTACTCCTGTTTAAGTAAGCTCACTGCACAAGCTTCCCCACCCTGGAGCTTGCAAAGGCGTTTCTACCTTTCTCTCATTTCAATGAGCAGCTCTCGTCCTGTACTCTCCGTATAACCCACACTCCTCTCCCCCTATGTCCCCTCCACCTATCACCTGCTAATCTCAGGACGCCCTGGTCTACAACTTCTTCTCGGGCTCGCCCCTAGCCTCCAGCTGGCGTCTGCTGCACCATTACATGCGAGAGCATACCCTCATTCCCTCGGCAGAGGAGGGCTCTAGCCGCTGGCAGTGCCCTGCGTTCGACCCCAAGAGGTGCGTGTTGCTTTTGAAAACTCTCAAAGGCTAGCTGAAATTTTCAACTCTACGAGGTGCGTGCTGTGTGCTTGCATCGGTCGTGGCACGGGTATTGCTAGGTACCTGTTTCTGCCCTACTGAGCTCACACACACACACAAATTCTCACCCCTCCATCGTCGCTCCTCCCCTTTCCATTCCTCCCTCAGGCACAATCTGCTGTGCAGCGAGCTCAAGCAGCTGTACCTGGTGCTTACACGGGTCTAGAGGTGCCTATGCCTACCGCCAGCGTCTCCTCTCCTTTCCCCTTCCCCTTTCCGCCCGCAGGCACAATCTGCTGTGCAGCGAGCTGAAGCAGCTCTACGTGGTGCTGACACGAGCGCGGCAGCGGCTGTGGATTTACGAGGAGGACGAGGGGGCGAGGCGGCCGGCTATGGACCTGTGGGGGGCCATGGGGGTAGTGGCGGTGAAACCACTCTCTGACGACCTCCTTACTTCCATGCACACTGAGTCGTCGCCTGAGGGCTGGCATAAAAGGGGCACTGAGGTGAGCCGTGGGGGCCAGGAGGGAGGAGGGAGAAGGGGGGGGAGATGGGGGAGATGGAGGAGATGGGGGAGATGGGGCATAATAGGTTGAGGACTAAATCGATTTCTTGCATCTCACGACTTTACTTCTTTCCATTGATCTAACCTGCAACCCCGCCTTCATCTGCTGCTCGTTTTTCTGTTTCCCATCCCTCCCCCCTTCACTTCATCCTCTCCTCTCGCCTGTCGGTTTCCCTCAGCTGTTCAACGCAGGCCAATTCGAAGCAGCGGTGCTCAGTTTTGAGCGCGCAGGGGACGAACACAGTGCGGCCGTGGCAAGGGCGGCGCTGCTGCAGCAGACAGCCAGGAGGCTGCAGGGCACGGATCCCAAGGAGGCAGGGAAGACGTTCCAGAAGGCCGCCCAGGCGTTCCTAAATGTGGGGAAGCCGAGGGATGCTGCCCGGTGCTTCACTAGCGCGGGCAAGATGAAGCATGCAGGTGAGACGTGGTGGTTGGGTTGGATGGGGTGGACGGGGTGGGTGGGGTGGGGGATGGATGTGGAGGAAGAGGGGAGGGGTGGCGGAACAGGGAGGATCGGTGGGCTGACTAATAGGTTTACTCAGGGGAGTGGGATGGAGCTGTGGCGGGAGGGCATTGAAGGGGAAATTGGGCTAGCTAGTGGCTTTGTGCCTCGGTGCTGGCATTCATTCTGCTTGCTGGAGGGGCTGCTCCCCTATACTGATCTTTCAACCAACCCCTCCCCCTCCTCCCTCCCCATTTCCCCTCTTCCCCCCTCACATGTGGTGCCTAATTCTGCTCCATATATTTTCGTCCACCTCCCTCCCTTGTGCCCCAAACAGGTGACGTGTATCGTGACAGGTGTCAGCCGCCAGTGTGGGTGAAAGCAGGGGAGTGCTACGAGCTGGCGTTGCTGCCAGAGCAGGCGGCCCTCTGCTTTGCACAAGCGTGGGAGGTGGAGAGAGCGCTCCACGTGTGTGCACAGCACCGGCTGTACACTCTCGGCGTGTCCCTTCTGCAGGCCTGGCAGGCGCAGGTGGGTGAGGGAATGAGAGCCGCCAAAGCAGAGCAGCACCAGCAACAGCTGCAGAGGCTGCAGCAGCAGAAGCAGGAGGAGGAGGAGGAGGAGAAGTGGAGGCAGAGAGAGAGGCTAGTCACTCGGAAGAACGCCGAGTTTGTGCAGCAGGCTGCGATGTATTACTACAGGAAGAAGAACAATGTGGAGATGATGAGGTTCGTCCACCAGTTCCCTTCACCCGCAAAGAAACGGCAGTTCCTGGAAAGGCGTGATTTCTTCGACGATCTGCTGCAGATCGAGATAGCTGAGGGGAATTTCCAGCGGGCAGCTGAAATGATGCTGAAGAAGGGGGATATGGTTGGGGCAGCGAGAATGTTTCTGGAGCAGAAGCGGTGGGGGCGGGCGTTTGAGTGTGCCATGGGTGCGGCCCGTGTGGCCAGCATGTGGGCTAATGGGAACAAGGGATGGCCGTTGAATGCTCGGGAACGGAGGCAAGAGAAGCAAGAGAGGAAGGAGGAGACGGAGAAAGACGAGGCGAAGGTGGAGAGGGGAAAGGACGAGGGGAAGAAGGCGAAAGTGAAGACAGGAAAGGGCGAGGCTGTTCCTAGTGTTTGGGAAGGGAGGGCTGAGGTGGGTGGGAGTGAGAAGGAAGTGAAAAGCATGCTAGACACTGCAGAGAGGAAGCAAGAGGAAGTGGATGAGGCCAGGGAGGGGAGCATGGATGCCCTGGAGACAGCTGTTGCTGTGTGGGCGAGGGAGAGGAAGGCGAGAGAGGAGAGGAGGGGGATGAAAGATACGGGAGAGGGGAGTACGGTCGGATCGAAGGTGCAAGAATCGGACGGGGGGGAGGTAGCTGGGACGGAGGAGGGTGAGGTGGATGAGAGGGAGGGGATGGAGGCCGTTACCCTGTTGTGGCTGCGGGATTTCTATGTGCAGGGCGGTGCAAAAAGAGGCGGGAGAGAGGACGAGGTGGTGGGGAAAGAGATGGGGAAATGGTGGCAGTTGCTTACTCACTGCCATGCGAACGAGCTCCTGGGTATGGTGAGCGAGATGGAGAAACGCACTCTGACAGGTGCATCTGTGGTTGACTCAGGGGCAGAGAATTTGGAGGTGGTAGCAGAGGAAAGGGAGGAGGTGGGGGAGACGGAGTTAGGTAGGAGGAGCATTGCGGCTGAAGTGCTGGTGAGTTGGAAGGCTCTTCAGTCTAGTATCCTACGAGCTAAGGCGTCTCTATCTCAGCACCTCAAGACCTCCCTCTCTCGCTCTTCTGCCGCACCGGCTGCCCCGTTACTCCCGTCTCCCATCAAGCCGGCTACCAACCTTCACTCTCGGCCCCCGCCTTCATCGCCTGCTCCAGCCGCCTCTCTCCGACCCGCATGGCAAAAGGCAGGTGACGGGTCCTCCCAGGGAACTCCGCAGCAAATGCAGCGGCAGGAGCAGGAGGAGAAGCAGGAGCAGCAGGAGCAGGAGCTGCCGTTCGAGGCGGATTTGAGGGAGGTGAAGCTGTGGTGGGGGCGGTGGAGTGAGAGGGTGGGAAGCATGGTGGCAGCGCTGCAGCGACTGCAGAGACGCAGGGAGCTGCCCTCAGATGCGCCCTGGCTAGATGCCACCTTCCACCTGCTCTCCGCCTCCTCCCCGTCCTCCTCCTCCCACTCTGCCACCCACTCTCTCACCTCCTCCACTACGCAATCTCTCCTTGTGGGCCTGTCGTCCGCTCATTGGCTGAATCCAGTGCGAGCAGCAGTAAATCATCTGCCTAATCAAGGAACGAGAGGGGAGATAGTGAGGGAGGCTGCAGCCAGGGCAGGTGCTATCTACTGGGCGAGACAGGCCAGTGAGATGGTGAAGGAGTGCGTGGACGTAATGCAGCAGGCGTTAAGAACTCTGGAGAAAGGGGCGGTCAGCAGTAAGGCGCAGGTGGGGGGGAGGAGTGCAGGCGTGGTGGTTAGGACTGTGCCGCAGCAGGGGGGTATGGGGAGGGATCGAGCTTGGCAGGAGAAGGAGCAGGGTGAGGCGGAGGACAGGATGCGAGCGAGGGAGCTGCATCTTCAGCTGGAGTTATGGGTGGATGTGTATGTCTTGCTGCAGTGTGCTGTGGACCTGTGTGGGGGAGGGAGGCAAGAGCAGAAAGAGCAGCAGGGAGGGGAAAAGGGCAAGGAGGTGCAAGGGGCAGGAGGGTCGGTAGAGGAGGGGGGGATAACCCAGCTGGCAGGGGAGGTGGAGAGGTGGAAGGAGCAGCAGGAGAGGGCGGCGTTACAGCTGCTCACGTTGCTCTTCCCTGTGACCAGTCCTCTTCCTCGCTCCGTGGCGTTTGTGGTGGCGCGGTGGAGGGAGGACGAGCGAGCACGAACCATGATGCAGCAGTGGGCCTGCTCGTGCGTGCAGAAATGCGTGGCGGAAGGCAGGAAGGAGGAGCAGCGGCAGTTGGAGGAGCAGCGGCAGTTGGAGGAGCAGCGGCAGTTGGAGGAGCAGCAACAGTTGGAGGAGCAGCAAGAGGAGCATCAAGAGGAGAAGCAAGAGGAGCATCAAGAGGAGCAGAAGCTGAGTGACTCTAGTAACGCACACAGGGCAGCAGGGCAGGAACTGGGACTCATAGAACCGCTGGTCCCTCCTGGGCTGTTCGCCCAGCTGATGCAGGTGCTGCCGTATCTAGGGCCCTGGTGGATGCGCAGGGAGTGCCAAGATCTGGTGGCGATGATGCCCGCCAGCAGAGTGGATGTGTGTGCCCGAATGCTGCTGGCAGGCCAGTGGGAGCACGCTGCACATTCGTTCACCCTCCAGCACCCGACGCTGCTCTCCGGAACTGTAGCCCTCAGCTACTGGGGCTTCTCACTCTACCACCTGTACAACGTGAGTGCTGCGATTTCGCTGTAAGCCTTCCTATTTTCCCGCTGGTTGCTGCCTGTGTCTTACGCTTTTCTCTTCTCCCCATGCCTGTTGTGTGATGTGATAATGATGTGGTAACAGTGGTGCTACTGGGAGGTGGACAACGGCTTTGTGTCCTTCCCCGTGTTCCTCAATCTGGCTGAGAGGGCAGCTGTCCACATGTGTGCTGCCATCACCAATCTCGAGAACCTCGTCATCCCCTCCTCCCTGGCTTCCCTCCATCTCGAAGGGCAGCACCATTCCAGCCTCTGCACGCACATGCTCCTGTGGCCCTTCAACCAGAACCCAAATACTGTGGCTCAACTTCACGACACCATCCTCTTTCCGCTCATCCATATCCTCGTGCGCTTCTTTGTGTTCGAGCCAGAGACCCTCCTCTGGTGGATGACCAAGAGCGGTGTTGCTCCAGCCGACCATGGCTCCATCTTTCTCCGCCTTCTCGTCCTCGTCGCCTTCGCTGTTTGCAATGTCGACAACTTCCACCAGCAGAGATTCTTCTCCTACCTGGTTACCAACTTCTTGAACGTCTTCTCTCCCACAGACCGACCACCCAACCCGCTTGTTTCCACCCTGCCATTGCAACTGCAGCGCGATCTGATCGTCATGTTCAGGCGGTCTCATCCCCCACCCAATCCGGACTATTTCTTTGGCAAGCTGAGTCGCCACATGTGGGCCATGCGGGATCCCTGGGTGGTGCTCAGGAGGAGGGGGTCGCGGATGATTCCAGATTACACATGGAAGGTTAAACAGGCTCGTGTGGGTGTGGAGTTTACAGCGCAGGGTGCAGGTGGCGCTGCTAATGCGGGGCAGAACAGCTTCCCAGTGTTTTCTCTGCAGAAACTGACAGGTTACCAGGTATTGGGGCTCCTGGGTGGTGAGAGTGGTGGTGGTGGTGCTGCTGCTGCTGCTGCTGCGGCTGGTGCGACTGGTACTGGTGATGACGCTATGGCTGCAGCTGAGTCGGAGGAGGAGCAAGAAACCAGCGGGGTGTCGGAGCATGGGGAGGAGTGGGATGGTGATGGGAAGCGAAAGGCTGGAGAGGAGAAGGAAGCAGGCACGGCTGTGGGTGCTGAGGGTGCGGAGGTGGATGGTGCGGAGAAGAAGGGCGAAGAAGACGTTAATAAGATGAGTGAGGGGGCAAAGGAGGTGGAGCAGGAGCTGAAGAACGCACAGCTGCAGAACGACGAGAGGGAGGAGGTGGATGGCGTCAAGATTGCACTCTGGATCACCCAGCAGCTGCGTACCTGCCTGCAGCAGGTACGATTAAGATTAAGTTCGTTTAGCTGCTGTGATACAATCGCACCAACTCAACTGTTGATCTAGTCGTTGCCATACCTGTTCCCAGCTCTGCTGCGGCGTTTGGGTGAGGAGGCAGAGGGTTGTCGCGACGACAAGCCATGCTTCATTTTGTGAGGGCAAGTCTGAGCGCTTGATGCATCATAACAGTATCCCCTCAACTGTCACCTCCTTCCCTCAAATCTTCCCCTTGGTTCGCAGGCTCGTGAGCGGCTGCAGCAGGACCTGTCGCCCCTCCAGCAGTGCAGCAGGGAGGCGCGGAGAGCGCTGACAACCATGCTGCAATCAGTGGGTGCAATCGAGCGGGCTTTCTACCTCAAGGAATACGAGGAGCACGCGTGCCCCGTCAAGGTATGCTCTGCTCGCTGCTTCCCGAGCAGCTTTTCTTTGCCTTTCTTCACACAGCGTAACGCCAGTCTTTAGAGAGCTGAAACCCTGAGGTTCTCCTTCCCCATGTGTTGTTGCCTGCAATACAGTCACCTGTTGCAAGCAGGGTACAGCTCCCGTTCGGTTGACCCAGCAGCCACTGCTGTCTTCTACCCTCACTTCCTCAGCCTCTGTTGCTCCGCCATGTCACCTTGATCTCACGCATTCCTCTGCGCACCATAACCTGTGCCATTCTCCCCACAGGTGGAGGCGGACGCATTTCTGGCGCTGATTCACGAGGGAGTGAGGCAGTTGAAGCAGCTGCTGCAGCAGGGGGGTGCGGGTTCGGGGAAGGGCCAACAGCAGAGAGGGCATGGGGGTGTGTGGACTGAGGAGGAAGCTGAGAAGCATGAGGAGCTACTGGAAGAGGCTCTGGATGCAGCGGAGTCACTTGAGGCAGCCATTAGTGTGGTCCACCACTCGTACGTTTTCCTCATCATGCCATGTCAAGCCACGCTTGTTTTGTCACCTGTGTGTGTGTGCGTCTGCATCTTGTCTGGCATGATCCTACCCGCACCTTGTCCTCGATTTCTCTGAGCTTCTCTGCTTTCCGACTGCATTCTCTCATGGTCACTTTGGTCCACATGGTATCTCGTGCGCATCCCATCGTATCACATCCCATTGAGCTATCTCATCACCACCCCACCCCGCCACATCCCATGTCCATCCCACCCCACCCCGTCCTCTCCTCCCACAGCCACTCCGGCCATGCCTCTGCGTCTGTGAAGTGGCTGCACGGCACAGCCATCGCCCCCCTCTCCGACCTCCTCTCCCAGCACTCCTCACTGGAGCACCCTCTCAAGCAGCTGCTGCACTCCACAGACAAGAAAGGGGATGCTGCACAGGCAGCGTCCAGTAAGGGTGGGAGTGGAGTGGCTAAGCAAAGGGGCAGGGGCAGTGTGAGTGAGTCTGTTGGAGGGAAAGGGAAGGGGAAGAAGGGAGGGGGGCGTGGTGGAGGGAAAGATGGTGGGGCGGGTGGTGGGAAAGGAGGGAAGAAACCACAGAGGGGAAGGTCGAAGAGGTAGTAAGGCTTGGAGGTTTGAGCTGGAGTGGGCGGTTTCCATAACGTACTGAGGGCTGTTTGGTTCCTCTGCAATCATGCCATGCACGTCCTTGTGTAGATTTTAGGTACCCTAGTATTGAACCATTAGAAAATGCAAGTGGATTAGGGCACAGGGTTTTACAGGCGGGGGCGTGGTGTCTCCTAAGGGCGTGGGGCATGGGGTCTCCTAAATTCATTCAAGAGCATCTCGACGAAGTGCGCTAGAAATCTAGGGCAACCCAGACGAAGTGATGGAAGCATGATTGGGTTGATATGCTTTTTCACATGCCAGCCATGGGCCCGAATTGTTGCCACTCCAATTCAAGCTCACCCGCCCACATCTCACTCAAGGGTATTATCGTAGTCTGCAGTTGTTTCTCAATTACTGATAGCATAAAATGCTTTAGCGGGAAAAATGTGATGAAGGGAAAATATCGGAAGGATACAAAACTAGGGCTGTACTCTCTAAAAACTAAACTAGGGTTGCACCGCTGATGGTCACGAGGTGCAAGTGCCTTCGTAAAGATATCAGCAGTATTGGCCTCAGAGGCCAACTGTACCACACAAGCCTGGTCGTGCTGCTGCAACTCACGAAGCAGGAAGTACCGCAGCTGAATGTGCTTCGCCCTGCCCTCAAGCTGAGCCTCCTGACATAGGAGGATCATGGCCCTGTTGTCAGCAAATAGGACCGGGGCAGACCTAGGCTGCTCACCCAAGTCAGTGAGCAAGAACGTCAGCGAGCGTAGCTCCTGAGCGGCCATGGCCCAAGCGTAGATCTCTGCCCCACAACTGGACTGAGCTACAGACGACGACCCACTGGACCTCCACGAGACTGCAACAGCACCAAGACTAAAATAATAGCCCAGAGACGACCTGAGCGTCTCCACGTCGTCATCCCACGACGCGTCTGTGTGTCCAGTGAGCACCACTAGCTCCCGTCCTCCTAGCACAAGCCCCAGTCAGGATGTACTCGCCAGATACTGCAGTGGCCTCTTGGCAGCCGACCAGTGGACTGGTCGGTGCCTGCCTGTCGAAACAAAGCGAGCCACGAGACTAAGAGGGTACGCTAGATCTAGTAGAGTGCAGGTCATCAGATACATGAGGCACCCCACCAACTCTGCGCATGGACCACTAGCCCTGACCGGCTCAGCCGGAACAGGAGCAGAGAGCTTGTGATCCACAGGTAGAGGGGTGAGCTGTGCTGAGGTGTACTGGAGACTGAACCTCTGGAGGATCTGTTGCATCATATGGGACTGGGAGAGTGTGATCGTGCGAGCAGCACGGTCACGAGAGATCTCCAAGCCCAGATAACGCCTCAGCTCCCCCAAGTCTATACAAGTGTGTCTCCTCAGTAACTCGGCCTTCACTGAGGCCAGTGCGACTCTGTCAAGAGTAGCAAAGATAAGATCGACTATGTACACTAGAATGTAGAATGGTGCCGTGCGAACAAAGAGAGAGGGCCCAGCAGAGGACAGAAAGAACTGCAGCTCAGCAAGAGTGGTACAAAGCGTGTCGTGCCACTCACGGGGTGCCTGACGAAGACCGTAGACAGGACGGTGCAGGCTCCACTCGGTTCCAGGCGGGAAGGACCCAGAGAAGCCTAGGGCGCCGGAGGTAGATCTGCTCATGCAGACTACCGTGAAGGAACGCTGTAGAGAAGTCGAGTGAGTGAAGCTCGTAATCAAGCTGCGCGGCTATGGTCAGGATCTAGAGTTGGTGGAACCAAGAATAGAAAGTCAGCGGAAAACTTTACAACTTCTATTGGAAATGTCATAAATGACAAGGATAATAATAATGAGTAATACATGAAAATTTATAGTATAGGAAGTACCTATTGAGAATGTATCTGTTAGTAGTGTATCGCGACTATTTGCGTGACATGACTAGTGACTGTTCGTGTGACTGAGAGTGGCGTGACCTTTCGGGTAACTATATGCATGAACCTACTGTTCACACGTTGACTCGCTACTGCTGAGGTCATCGCGCGCATCCTTCCATATGAGGTATCGCGCTATGAGTACAGTCTAAGTATAATATCACGAATGCATAACCAGTAACTCTGTCGAGTATACTTTAACACTCCTCTTCATTCATGAGTGTATGTTTCTGGATAAGTGTCGCCGCGCTTGCAGATTCCAACCAGGTTGGAGCAGTATTGAAACTTGTCGCATGGGAGTTTCTTCGTGAGAAAATCAGGTGTCATTTCTCCTGTAGGGCAGTATTTCAGGACGACCTTTCCTTTGTCGATTTCGTCCTTGATGAGGAAGTATCGGAGGGATGTGTTCTGTCCTATTGACGAAGCCGGGCTTGTTTGCAATCTTGATTGCGCTCTGGTTGTCGCAGAGTAACTTGAAGTTACGGGTCGTTGCAATTTTTGTCTCTTGAAGTAACTCTTGAAGATAGAGTCCTTCGCGAAATGCAGAGCTTGCTGCGAAGAATTCTGCTTCGGCTGGCGAAAGTGCGATGGCCTCCTGTTTCGTTGAGTTACAAGAAATGAAACCACCAGGCTCAAGTTTGAAAATGAACCCTATGTGCGAACGCCTGTTGTCGGGTCAGCAGCGTGATCCACATCAACATATCCAGGAAGTCAAAAATTTGTTGCAGTATTTGTCGTGTAGCTGAGACCGATTGTTGGAGTAGAAATGAAATATTGGAGGGCTCGACGAAGATCGACCATATTCTCCCGTTCAGGTCAGCGCAGATACTGTGCAAGCTGATTTGTGATGTTGGCAAGATCTGGTCGGCAAGTAACGGCTGCAAATAGAAGACACCCGAGCTGCTGCTGGTAAAGATGATGCTCGGAGGCATCAAGTGGGGTAGTATTGGGTGTGTAGTCGGTCGAAATATGACGAAAAGGAGTCGTGAGTGTCATGGCACAGGGATAGCCTTGTCGAGCCTCTTCTTTCTCTAGGGAGGGTACTAGGAAGGCTTTCCCTGGGGAGGGTGGATATATGGAGCCCAACTCTCCTGAGGACATCCCTTCTTGTCCCAGTGATTAGGACTGGTGACTTTATGGCTTGGTATCAAAGCGATCCAGGGTTCAATTCCTGGTGTACACTCTATCCCAGCGGGGGGGTGTGTTGTGGCACTAGGATAGCCCTGTCGAACTTCTTATCTCTCTAGGGAGGGTACTAGGGAGGCTTTCCCTGGGGAAGGTGGATATATGGAGCCTAACTCTCTTGAGGACATCCCTTCTTGTCCCAGTGTTGGACTGGTGACTTCATGACTGTGAGGCCGATAGGAGCGATGGCGAACGTTTTTCGCAAGTGTTTCGGCGTACTTGCTGGCAGAAAGGAAGATGGCACCGAGGCCACATTCGAAGTTTAACCCAAGAAATTGGATGACGTTGGGGGAAATAATAACGTCAAGAATCGTTTGGATTCTTTCTTCCATGCGCATCAGAAGACGGTTGCACAAGCCGGTGTACAGTAAGTTGTCCACATATGCAACTTGAAGAATGTAGTGTCCTCGAAATTCAAGTCTGTACATTCTAGGATCGTGGGGCAGCTGCACGAAGTCGAGTGAAATCAGAACTTCAGTAAAGATGCTGCTGCCACAGGCGAGGAACCTGCTTGATGTCATAGAGTGATTTAAGTAATTTGCAGATGTGGAGTCCGTCGCCGTAAGTGTAAGGAAGTTCGACGGAAATATCTGCTTTGATGCCTGCGTATAAAACACATTTTTTACATCCAGTTGGCAAATTGGCTGGTGGCGGCTGGCACCAATGGCGAGAAGAATTCAAACTGGGGTATGTTGGCTGACCGGAGCAAAACTCTGGTCGTAATCGATGCAATGGGTTTGTTTGAACAGCCCATCCCTCATTGAATCTGTCTGGTTCCACGTGTTCTGCTCCTCGGGAGCCGATACTTCTGTATCCATAGCTGCTCGCCACTTGTCAACATCTGAGCCGGGGAGGGCATGCTTGACTGTTTTCGGCTCGATCCCGGCCGCTGGTTGCTGAAGTACGACATCAAGTCCAAGAATATGAAGAGCCGATTGGTCACTACGAGGATGTGGTTGGCAAACTTCGACGACGTCATCATCGTCAATTTCAGATGGCGGATGGCATGCACCGTCATGTGATGCTGTGTCAGTTTTCTGTCGCCGTAGTTGCTCTTGATAACTATAGGCAGCTTGTGTCGTGGCATGACGCAACGAGTTCGAGAGTGGAATGAAGAGCGGATTGTCTGTGTTGTCGGCATGCGTCGAAGGAATGTAATAGTTGAACAATGGTTCGCCTGCTGACGTAGACAGCTGCGGAATTGTAGAAGGTCCTGCTGTTGCACTGTCGGGTGGATAATATTCTTCGGCTGCATCTGCTTCGTCTTGGTGGTGAAACTTCGTTCGGCACTATAGCAATCAGGATCTCGTTGCTAGCGTTCGTTGTCGCGTTCGAAGTCATCGAAAAAAAGTTTCTCGCAGAAGATGCAATCTCGGGCATATAAAACCTTTCAGGTTGCAGAATCCATGATAATCGAGGAGTAGGATTCCTTGGGTGCACCAAGATGTATTCCCCATCAAGCCGTTTTGTAAATCTGCCCGCAGTTGCGCTCGAAATTGCATAAGCATTTTCCTCCTTTTCTAATCTGCTCCCATTGACTTGATCCACCTCTTGTTTGCTCCCCTTTACTTGGTTCATTTGTATAGAAGGTTTACTTGCTCTTGACTTTGCCTCCTTTTGCATTGTACCGGTCCAAGTCCTGCTGCTCTGCCATCAGAGTAGTGCACAGAGAAGTTTCAGAGATGTTCCCAAGTTTCTGAGAAGTTTCAGGGAACGAAGAAGGGACTTGCACTGTCTCCATTCGGGTCCAAGTCCAGCCAAAAGAATATTGACGAAGAGCTTGTTACTTAGATCTCCTCCGCACTTGCCTTGCTGATCCCGAAGATTTATGCACTTGTTGGTGTAGCTGCCAACTTTTTCTCACGGAAGCATTTGCATTGTTGTAAGTTGACTTAACAGCTTGCTCTGTGTGACGGAATCTTGTGCTTGATAAAGTATTCGCAGGTCATCCCAGGCGTAGTAGGCTGGGGCAATCGAAGGCTTGAAGCACCGAACTCCCAACTGCTCTTCAGGTGAGAGATTCCGCACCAGTAGTGTATAGGCCATAAGCGAATACTTGTAATAACGCGCCTGTTCTTCGACTGTTCCTGTATCTAGATAACGGTTCGTGTCATCGAAATATCCCCATATGCCGAAATACTGCGCTAAGAGTTCAAACTCGAATACCCAAGCATAAAAGTCGTGGCCATCAAAGTGAGTTGATGTCTTCAGCTTGGAGATAGTTAGGAAATCCGCTTGATTTACAACAGCTTGTGCAACAAATGGTATTTCTTCTGCCATTTGATATTGTTGTTGCTGTGGT